TGGACGTGTTCTATCTTTGTTCCACCTATGGTAATTACTGATCTGTCTTCTGTGTTAATCATTATTTTAGTTTTCTTTAGATTCATTTTTAGTCCTTTCTCAAGAGATGTTTTTTCTAGGTCTGAAATCATTATTCGTAGTTATTCCATAGTTGTTGCTATCAGGAGTACACCATCGGCGAATCTTAGATGATTTAAATATTTCCCGTTTATACAAATCCCTTGATAGTCCCAGTCTATAGATTTAAAAATGTCTTCCAACGCCAAAGTAAATAGTTTGGGTGAGATTGTATCCCCTTGTCTGACACCTCTACAAATTCTAATTAATAGAGTTTGCAAATCTCTGTCTAGCTGAATTCTCACAGTGGTGTTTTGGTATATATTGTGGATTAACATTCTGTACCGTGAATCTATTCGGCAATTAACTAGCGCTACTTCCACTGCACATAGTTTTATGCTGTCAAACGCTTTTTCATAGTCAACAAACGCTAGGTATATTGGAAGGTTGTATTCGTTGGTCTTTTCTATCAATATTTTAAGAGTGTGAAGGTGGTCGGTTGTGCTGTACCCCTTTCTAAATCCTGCCTGCTCAACTGGTTGGTATGCATCAAATTTGTTGTTTAGTCTAGTTGTGATCACCTTAGTAAAAGTTTTATAGATTTGTGACAAGAGAGATATTGGTCTATAGTTAGCTAATTTTGATCTATTTGTTGTATTGCCATGTTCCACTCTTGCAGTATTTGTCCTTCAAACAAACATTATTGAAAAGTATCTTTAGGTAGTCTTTTATCTTTTCCCCTCCTTCTTTTAACATTTCAATTAGAATTTCATCGTATCCCGGAGCCTTATTTCTTTTCATATCTCTAATTGCTTTTTCTATTTCTTCTCCGGTTATGGGGGGTAATATTTCATTCATTACATTCATTATGTTCTTTTTCAGGTTCTGTTGAGTTGTATCAGGTGGACTGTTTTTAGAGCTGTAGAGGTCACTATAATATTCCCTTGTTATCTTAGATTTTTGGGTTATGCTTTTTTCTATTACACCTTGTTTATTTTCCATCTCTATGATTTTATTTCTTCCTAGGTGGGACTTGATAGATCTTAAGTTTCTGTTTTCTTCTATAATCTTCTCGATTCGTTCTTCTTGATGCCGTTTGAGATCTTGTTTTATATGTCTTCTTATTTCTGGATTAAGGGTTTTGTATTAAGTTGCATTTCTTTTATTTTCTTGTAATAGGCTTCTCCGTTGTAGTAGCATGTCTAAAGATATGGCACTTAGTTCTGATTTTTTGTCTGATTTTGCTGCTGCTACTTCTAAGCTAGTCTTTAGAAGTTCTTCAGTGATGGCTTTGTTTAGTTGATCTAGATTTAGGTCTGTTAGCTTTAGTTCTTCAGCTGTTCTTAATTTGTTTTGGTATTGTTCTTTATTTTCCTTTAATTTTTCTGGGTGGACTTTTTTCTTAGAGTGCACATATTGTCGATCTTTATTGTGTTTAATACTTATTTTAGCCCGTATCATTCTGTGATCACTATCAGTAGATATTGAGTTTATTACTGTGACGTCTTAGAAAATGTTCTTTTTGTTTGTTAGTATGTAGTCAATTTCATTTTTAGTGTTCCCACTTAGTGTTCTTCTTATTTATAAGTAAAAATGCAGTAATATAAAGGGTAGGAGAGAGGCGGGAACAGTGACACACAGGGAACAGTGACACATTTAAAATCCTAGTAGAAAATATGTTAGCAAGTTGGTGATATTGTGGAATTTTACAGTTGGTATAATAAGAATACTACTTGTCTTATAAAAAGTTGACAGAATCTGTTGTGTTTGGAGAAAATCGCATGTTTGTGTTTTGTTAGTGCAGAAGTATTTTGTCAAGGGTGTTTTTAGTTGTTGACTACGAGGAAACAAACCTGAATTATTGGATTGTGTTCTGGGTCGTAAAAAAGTCATATAAAATGTAAGTAATAGCAATAAAATTTCTTTAAAATCTTTGTAGATTAACAAAAAATTTACAAATTTTTGTATAAAACAGCATTGTGGGTACAGTGACACGAATATTGATAAGGAACAGTGACACGATGTGTCACTGTACCCTTCTTGTGAATTTCATAAAATCTTGACAGCAAATGAGTGCTGGAAAATCATATTAGGGTCTAAGAAGCTTTTGTTAATTATGAATTTATATTACAGATGGTACGTCAGAAGAAAACGGATAAGACAGTGGGTAGATTCAATGAAGATTCTATGAGGGAAGCAGTCAATCTAGTTATCAGTGGTATATCAATTCGTCAAGCTGCTAGAGAGAAAAACTTAAGCTTTAAAACCGTAAGCAGATACGTAAAGAAATACAGAGATGATCCCGAATGCCGAATGGCTCCTAACTATAAAATAAACCAAATATTTTCTTTGGAACTAGAGGAAGCTCTCGTTGATTATATCATAACGTATTCAAAAATGTTTTACAGTTTAACAATTACCGATTGTCGCAAACTTTCATATGACTTAGCGAAAGCAAATAAATTAAAAATTCCAAAAAATTGGGAGGAGGAAAAAAAAGCTTCAGTCGACTGGTATAAAGGATTTCGCCATAGACATCGTACAATATCCTTAAGAACTCCAGAGGGATGTAGTCTAGCAAGATCAGCAGGATTCAATAAAGAAAATGTAAACTTATTTTTTAATAAGTTGGAAATAGTTTTGCAGCGACATCCAAATTTTTCAAATGGATTCAGAATTTACAATTTAGACGAAACCGGAACTTTGACAGTTCAAAACAATTCGACAAAGGTGCTAGCCAAAAAAGGCACTAGAAAAAGTGTCTAAAATTCAAAGCAGTGAAAGAGGTACACTTGTTACCACATGCTACATTGTAAGTGCAAATGGAAGTGCAATCCCACCCGTAATGGTATTTCCGAGAGTCCATTTTAAAAGCCATATGTTGGCAGGAGCGCCATGTGGGACGTTAGGCTTGGCTACGAAAGCAGGATGGATGAACACAGAATGTTTTATTGAAGTTTTAAAACATTTCATTAAACATACTTGTAGTTCAAAAGCTAACCCTTCACTATTAATCATGGACAACCATGAGAGCCATATATCTCTTGAAGCTATCATTCTGTGCAAAGATAATGGGGTCACTGTTTTGACTGTGCCTCCTCATTGCACCCATCGGTTGCAACCATTAGATGTGGGTCTGCTAAAACCGTTTCATATATTTTACAATGATGCTTTAAGTTCGTGGGAAAAAGCTAATCCGGGCACACCTGTGACAATCTACCATGTAGCATCATTTGTGGGACTCGCTTACCCCAGATCTATGACACCTGTAATAATATCGGCAGTTTTTAAAAAAACTGGAATATTTCCCTTTGACCGTCACGTATTTAATGATGATGATTATTTCGCAAGCCAAGTTACAGAACGACCATTAGTTAATTCACCAAATATTGATCCAAAACCATCTACCTCGACAGGAGGTACCACAGATAACTCTATCAAGAACCAGGACGTAACTCCATTACAGAAATTGTCACCTTCATCCACAAGTGGAAGAAAATTGACATTTGTAAGTCCATCAGCTATTCGTGAATATCCAAAAAAAAGTTTGACAATTTCGGTTAAAACTAGAAGAAAAAAAGGCAAGACTATGATTGCTACTGACACTCCAGAGAAAAACGAAATTGAAAGTAATAGAGCCAAAAAAGCGAAAACAGTTAAGAAGCATAATCTCAGAAGACATTAAAAACAATGATGACGTTATTGAGTCGGAAGACGAAGATGGTAAAACTTATAGTCTCCATAATTCTGACACGTCAGAAGGAAGTGAAATATTTTCAGATAGTGATGATGAAGACCTATGTGATTTGACATTAGATCTAGCCAAAATTTGCGACATTAAGATCAATGATTTCTTATTAGTGAGACTCAAATATGAAGCCCATTCCAATAAAGAAATCGAAAAATATTATATTGGGAAAGTTGTGGTGATAAACACCATTGGTACGATGGAAGTCAGTGTTTTACGTAAAAATTCAAAAAATGTCACATGCTTTGTGTTTCCATGTGTCACAGACATTGGTGTTATATTCAACAACCAGATTATAAAAATTTTGGACCATCCAAAAATTAGCAGGGGTCGACACTTTTTTCCTAATGTTAAAACGGACTTGATTTCATAGAAAAAAACAAGCATTTATAATATTTTTCTGTAGATCAATAATAAAGATACGTTTTTATTGTTTAATTAGTCCTAAATAATAATACTTACATATTACAGTTGAAAAATGTCTTTGTGTCAGTGTACCCTTCATACCAGGGAACACTGACACAATGCAAAGTTTCAGACTTTTTTTAAATCTATTTGTTTTCTTAATTTATAGCAATGCAGTCATTCATGATGTATTTGCAACACAATAACACGTGCAAATTGATATTTTCAAGTAAAATCCTATTAATGGTCTAGCGATGACAGAAATTCAAATTTTTCTGTGTCACTGTACCCACCTCTCCCCTATTCCGTTTAAAATACCAAAGTTGTTGTTCAATTCCGGTGTAACCGGAAGTGCAATGTCTTTAAAAGTATTTTCTTTAAATTCGTCATAACTGGTAAATGCTATAACCCCCATAATAGCGTGTAAGTAGTTTTCGATATATAGATAGTGAAATCTCGTCGTGAAACACCCTGTATAAATATCCGTTAATAATGTTTATATAAAGGCCAATCGACGTTGAATATTATCTGCTGTATACATTACTGTGGTCTGTATTGTTTTCAGGTGCTGATCAATTTCATTTATTATATGTATTTTTATTTCTATATTTCAGTTTTTAAAATGAATTACTTTTATGGATATTGTGTTAAATCGCTCTTGTTTTGTCCCTATTTGCTGTTATAATTATTGTGGTTTATTCCCTACTAAATATTTTCTATTTGTATGGGAAGCAAAAAGACCATGACAATAGTAAAAAAGAAGAAATTTGTGTTTATTTCTTTTTAAAATGTCAACCTAATATGTAAATTTACAATTTAATCACAATATTTCATGTCATTAAGTTTAGGTCATCTGCATATCTCGAAACTGATAAATCTATCACATAGTTGATTGAAACATAGGTTACACAACCCCATTCGCAGTATTTTTGGTCAACCGGAAAATAATGAATATCCAGTTATGTTAATAACGAAGAAACACTTATGGAAAGAAGTAATTTTGATACAGGAAAGTACGATATAGCAGAAAATGATTCAGATAATAATGTTGGTTATAAGAATGGATTAACCTCATCATTTACGCAAACAAATAATTCATACTCCAAATTACATTATATAACTCCTAGAAAAACCCATATCGTTAAGGATTTGTGCACCCAAACGAGTAAAACATTGATTCCAGAGACTAGTAATTTTGAATCAGCCCCCGATATTCTAAGTCCTATTAATCGTATTTGTAAGAGTAACAATCCATTTTGTACTATTGATTATGTAAAACATACAACTAAAGAACGTGAAGAATTACATAATGGATTGTGCCACGAAGGTGAGAATAGGAATATTAATGTTAGAGATGAATCATATGTCTCTCCCAGAACCTTGGCCTCATTACCATTCGATCGTTCTTTTAATGTTGTTAATTTTTTCAAACAAGGACAACCGCAACAAAAAGCCCTTCTTTCTGGGACCGTTTTAACGCGAACATACTTAGAAAAAAATAAAAACAAATTGAAAAAACAACATAACCTGGAAATGGAACCTTCATTGGAAATAAGACCCGCTAATACGCTAAAAAGTCAGTCTTATGTAGAAAAACCATATTTTTGTAAAATACATAAAGAACCCAAAAGATTTTACGAAAATAGTGAGGTATTCGAAGATAAAAATAATAAATCTCCAAAAAACTATTTTTTAAAAGTCAGCGAAGTTACCCAAACAGAAGGAAAAGCCAAAACTTATTCCTTCATGTCTCCTACAATTGCCAGTGAGCGAAAAAATAAAAGTTTACATATTAAAACCATAGAAAGACTTATTTCCCCAACGCGATTAGGTAGATCCATTACTGTCAAGAACAATAAAACACCACGGTCTCATGATTGCTCATACGTTCATGTCCCTGTTATAGATAAACATAAAGATACTGTTCAAGTATCCGGTGCTAAATTGCTAAAACAACAACACACCACTCTTAAGAATAATGTTATACAGAGACATATTTCGCCTTCTCGAAGAGGCAGGTCCATTAGTCCGAATCACATTAAATTAACACGAGCCCGTGATTCCTCGTATAGTCATGCTCCTTTGAGAGATAAAACTAAAGCAAATATTCGAGTACCTGCCCCCAAATTACAAAGACAACCATTAGATGCCAGCCAAAATGAGAAGAGTTCGTATCAAGTAAGCCAATTCCTTGGTAATTTTTTACTCATATGCGTTAAATTTTTCCGTCTTTTGCTATACATATTTTTCTTCTGAGGGTCCCGGATGTTGGCTCCATGATAATTTTCACATCATCAAGACAATTTTGACTTTGTTTGTAGATACTTGAACCATGTTGATTTAAAAAGACCTTGAAAAATTTTACCCGTGGTATAAATTCTTTAAATATTGATATGGTCAATTTGATTCCTTTGTGGTGGTCTGTTGTCTTGCAGTCCATAATTCTACCTATGTATATAATGGCTATACACCCCAGGGGTGGGGTTAATCCGCGAATGCTTTCTAGACTCTATTTCTTGAGTGGATCAGTCCCTTTTGTTTATGTTATCTTCTTGAAGATATCTCTCCATTTTTTCTGTCACTAGTTTTTCCTCTCCTTTCTCTGACTCCTCCCTCTTGAAGGTGTTCTTCAACTCGTTGTTGAAGACAACATTCTATCATTGCATATGCCACTGCTTCATCTCCTGCTTGCCAAATGTTACCTAACCATACAACTCTGCATTGCTTTATTTTAGTCACGATGTCTTCCTTAAGTTCTTCCTTAATCTCGGCATTTGTTCTACTTCTATATTCCTTTTTCTCCGTTCTGATTGGTCCCAGTATGGTTCTCATGATCTTTTCCTCTGCTATTCTTAAGTCTTCTTCATGTTTTTTTATTATCGTCATTGTTTCTGCTGCATATAATAAAATTGGCCTAATTATGGTGTTATAAATGTTTATCTTAGTTTTCTTAGTCAGTGTTTTGCTTTTAAGTAGTCTTCTGCTTGCAAAATAAGTTTTATTCGCTGCTAATATTTATTCTTTTATTTCGGACTTCCTTTCTCCGGTTTTGATTATTGTAATTCCTAGGTATTTGAAGTATTCTACTTCTTCAAACTCAGAACTTCCTATTTTGATTTTTTCCTGTTCTTTGCAATAATAGCAATATCGTCTGCATATGTGATTATTTGACAACCTCTTTTTCTTAGATTTCCTTTATTTATATTTCGTAATACGTATTCTAAGGCTAGATTAAATGCGTTGTTGATAAGGCTTGTTTCATCCATTTATTTATACTGAATTCCTCTGTCTCTCCTCTTTGTGTCTTATCATTGTTATTTATATTAATTTTCTGAGCTTATGTGGAATTTTTAATTTTTTAAGTGCTCAACTCAACTCCCCTCCTCCATATTTTATTAGTTTCATATTAATTCCATCTTTACCAGGAGCTTTTCCATTTTTGCTTCTCTGTATTACTTCCTCCAATTCCTCTAATATTGGTTCTTTTGAAATTTTGAAATTGTTGTTTCCTCCGTCAAGAGCTCTCTGTAGTAATCCCTCCATAATTACTTGTATTCTTGATCCTCTATTATCACTGTTCCCTTTTTATTTTTTATTCCGTTTGTTTTGCCTTTGTATTTTTTTGTTTTGTTCTTTAATCTTTTTGTAAAAATTTTTCGTATTTTTGTTTGTTCTTTCCTGCTTTATTTTCTACATTTTTTCGTCTACCCATCTTCTTTTATTTTGCCTTATCACTTTCTTAGCATTTTTATCAATTTTTCATATTCTTCTCTATCTTCCTCTTTATCTGTTCTTAGCCATTTAATTCTGGCTTGCACCATTTTTCCTGTTATTTCTCTACATTCTTGGTTATACCAACCGTTTTATTGTGGCTTTTACCTACCTGCATATTTGCATATTCTTCTATTGATTTTTTTATCGTCTCCTTATCTGTGTTTATATCTTCTGCTTTATATATATTTTTTTATTTGAACTGTTACTGCCTCTGATTATTTTTTCTTATTTCTTCATTACTCATTTGATAGACATTCCACTTTTTATGCTAAATGGCATATTCGTAAATAAACTATTTATGTCAAAACTTACCAAAGTATTATTTGAATTAAATTCAATATTTAAACCAACAAAACTAAATGTATGACAATAGCAAAAGATCCGCTCAGATGTAAGTTAGTGGTTGAGGACAACCCCATAGAACAGGTAATGCAATTCAGATATCTGGGCATAGATATATCAAGCACCCACGACCCAGTAAAGGACCTGAGGAGTCAGATCAACAAAGCATCTGCACTGTCAGGATGTCTGCGGGAGATAGTCTGGTCAAATCCGTATATACGCACAGATAGTAAAATTAGAATCTATAAAACTTGCATACGACCGATCATGACATATGGCATAGAAGTGCGCGAAGATACCAACAAAACGAAACAGATGCTAAGGGTTGCCGAAATGAAAACCCTAAGAACAATAATGGGGAAAACAAGAAGAGACAGAGTGGGAAATACAAACATTAGAGAGCAGTGCAAAATTCAAGATATTGTAAGATGGGGAAGGCAGCGCAAGAGGATGTGGTACAACCATGTAAGACGAATGGATGAGAATAGACTCCCAAAAATTGCCCTAGAAAACAATCCGCCCGGAAGACCCCCCGGAAGACCACCTAAAAGATGGAGGGATAGTTGGCAATCTACCTTCCAAGAAATTAACCAGAGGCAGCTTCAGAATTAAACAGATCGAAAGATCTACAAAAAGTAGAAGAAAAAATTCAATATTTGATAATTTATTTAAAAAATGTTGTGTATTTTTTATGAATGTGTCATTTTTATTTATAAATGGTTTTAAAATATTTAATAAAAATTTTGATGGTTCACTACAAGGAGAATTCATGGTACTACAAATGGGTCTAAGTGGTACCGAAAATTCATAAAACGAATATACCACTTATGGTATATACCACTTAAGTTAAAGTTGATTTCATGTAATCGAATGAACTATCTTATAAGTAAAGTTGTCCCAGGAACGCAACTCAACAATATTGGCAATATCATTTTAAAGTCGTCTACTTTAAAATGCATAATGTATGTCTGAATTGTCAATATAAATGAGTCAGATAAAATTAAATTATTAGAAGAATTTTTCACTATGTAACAAAAAACAAAATTTGTTTAATTTACTGTTTGTATTTTGAGAACGATTTCCGAAGTGGAAATTGAAACGTCAATAAACGTATTTTTATCTTTAATTGTGGCTTATTCCCAGTTAAATAGTAATTAATTTACAATGCCACAAGAAAATAGCTTCAGAACAATATGCATTTAATTCGTGTCTTAGATATGTGAAGGTCTTTACTATTTAAAAATCTTCCTCTACTTTAATTTTATTTCTGGTTCTTTAGTATATTTAATTCAAGTCTAATCTGCTTGGAGGCTACTCTTTTCGATTGTAAATATGTTTCCGATACCTACTCCAATCTATGGGAAGTGATGGTACGGAACATATGTCATAAGTAGGTTTTTTGCTTTTTTATTGTCTAGCTTTTGTAGATGTGGATGTAGTAAAAGGCTCGAATTCTTTTCTGGTTATCTTATCCTCATAGTCATTAACATCTTGGCGGATGTGTTGTGGTTCATCATTGAGTTTCTGCTCAATGCGATTCATCTAGTTATCTAGTGTGGTACAATTGTAAGCATTAAGGAGGTTCCATCAATGGACTTAATCTATTTTCCATATTTTACACAACTTATATAAATATAGCATATATGTAATCTCATTTTATTTGTAGGATTTAAGCTTCAAGGGTGAATGCTCAACCTCATCAATATCAGATTTAAATCTTGTTCATGCGCTGTGTAAATTGAGGGATCCTGATTGGTAAGTATGTATCACATTATTAAATTACATTATTTTAATTTTTAATCTTTAAATATTATATCGCTAAAACTTATTCAAAAAAACTGTGTCAAGAACCTCTCAAAAAGACAAAAAAATTGTATCTCTTTAAATGAGATGTTGGTGAATTATATAAGATATATACAGAGATACAGTTAGAAACGAACAAACAAAAGAAATCGTTAGGTGCGTAAAGACAATCGGAGAAGATGTTGAACAATACCAATTTAGATGGTGTAGACACATAACCCGATGAATGAGTGGTGACTTCTTCAAAGAAAACAGCGTGAAATGCGAAAACAGGCGAGGGAAAGAAACTTAAAAACTTGAATACAAAATAAACCCTAGAAAACAAACATTACGAAGACAATGGGCGAGAGAATCTTGATCGACGAAATGTGCTTAGATAGAATAAAGAATGTCTATTCTCTGTTCACAAATTGTTGATAGCACGAAATATGCCTCAAAATCACCAAACGGTCGTAAAATTTGTATCATCATAGGCGTTCCTGAGGTGTTTATTCATTAAAATTAATATTAATATTAATAATGTTTTAATACTGATATATTTAGTTAAAAACAATTTAAACTTTCACGGCTAATGTTGGTTATTATATTATATTAATAAAAATAATAATTTAACCACTAACAATTTTGTAAATAAGAATACCTTATCTCTTTGGATATTTCAATACTAATCATCGCGTTTAATTACTTTACTAGAAAACCTGGTATTTATATCCGAAGGTACTATCGGTTGCAAGATAATTAGGATGGAATTCCCCAGATTTTTAATAATATAATGGGTATAGATGCCGGATTTGGCTACGTACCTCGTCTGTTTAGTTTATATTCGAAACTTAACTTAAAAGGGTGAAGTTATTACGAACGAAAACAATTTGTTTGTTTAGTACGTTTTTCATCGCATGTAATTTACGGCTCGTCGGTGTTTCCGCTTCTACGGCAGTAATTAGCGTCTCGAATATTTCTTTTGTGAATTATATGCAGTGCGTGAGTGATTTTTATTCCATATACCTACGAACATATACGTACCTTTCGCTCGTGCTCGTTTTGTTGGATTGTTTGTGATGGCTTCATCATCAACATCATCAAGTTTTACACCGGTACTGTTGCGTACAGTGAGTAAGTCTGTCTATTCACCAAGAGAGAAGACTATTGTCCTGAATGTTCACGATGCTCTGGTTTCTCAGAATCCCACAAACACTGTTCGCAACATAGTCGAAAGTTGGGAGGGAAAAAGCCTATTGAACTTGATGAATTTGCCAAAAATGGTATTCGAAGGAAAATTCATGGATTTTTTTTTCAAAAAAGAAATACCAAACCTAAATAAAATTTTACAAGAAGTTAGAGATGATCCGGATTTGCCTCATATCGGACGAACTAAATTGGGGCAAGTTTTAAAAGAATTAAATTTCCGGTGGGAGAAATCAGACCGAAAATCACTTTTGATTGACCGGGAGGAGATAATATGTTGGAGAAGAAATTATCTAAGATCCATACGGAAATTCCGGGCTGAAGGAAGGCCAATCTTCTACCAGGATGAATCGTGGGTAAACTCAGGTCATACTCTAAAAAAAGTTTGGTCAGATAAAAATATATTAAGCTCCAGGCAAGCCTTTATGGAAGGTTGGTCTACTGGTATCTCCCCACCTTCTGGTAAAGGCAGTAGATTAATAATTTCTCACATTGGAAGTGAAAAAGGATTTGTTAAGCATGGTTTGTTGGAATTTCAGTCCAAAAGCACAAAAGACTATCACGAGGAGATGACAACTGATGTTTTCGAAGAGTATTTTGTGCAGATGATTGAACACATACCACCAAATTCAATTATAGTATTAGATAATGCACCTTATCATTCACGACTAGTAGAAAGACTTCCAACGACTGCGTGGAAAAACAGGATATTCTTGACTGGCTGAGGAATAAGTACCTGCCTTACGAAGATGGAATGGTAAAAGCAGAACTTTTAAAAATTGTCCGGCAACACAAATCTAAGTTCATAAAAAATACGTAGTTGACAAAATGGCGGAAAGGGGAAACATCACAGTCCTTAGACTTCCACCCTACCACTGCGAAATAAATCCAATTGAACTCATTTGGGCACAAATGAAAAGTTCCAAAAATGAAAATATGGCTAGAAAAATACGTCACATAAAATACAAGCTGTACGTGAATTGTTATACGAGTCTTTACAACACATTACAGAACAAAACTGGAAAGATGCAGTAAGACATGTAATAGAAGAAGAACAAAAAATGTGGGATCTTGATAACATAATTGATGCGACCGTAGAGACACAACCGCTAATTATTAACCCTCAAGACGACTCGGATTCCGAAGTTGATCCTATTTATTTTGTATTTGAATAGTTTTCTAATCGTAATTATATAAGGTAAGTGATAGTAGTTGTAATCGTAAGGTATTAAAGGGGAAAGGCGCAAAACGTCGCCTGTCAAAATGTTCAATGTGTTTTAAATGTATCGATTTTTTTTCAAATCCTGAGAAAACTAAAAAGCCTTTTTGGAAAAATTTAAAGGCAGAATAAAATATTTATTAGAATAAATAAAAAGTTTCTTTTGCATGCAATATTTTCAATTAAAAATTATACTATATTCTCTCTTTTATTTTCACCCCTGTTGCATAACATAATAAAATAAACATTGTAGAAGTTTTCAGGGACTTTCTGTAATATACATCAGTATACACATATATAATACCCTCAGTAATAATGTAATCTTTTATTCTGCTTTTAACTTTTTCAAAAATATTTATTAGTTTTCTCCGAATTCGAAAATAATGGATACATTTAAAACACACTTGGTGCCTTTCCCCTTAATTAAATAAATGTATCTTTTACAAATGGCAAAAAACTTTATTTTTGAATAAAATATTTTATTTTATTATAAGTTTTATTAAAACAAAAATACAATTTAAAAAATATATTTATTTAGTTCAAATAAATGTTCCAATCATATACTCTACGACACTGGTCGGCCAAAATACGTTCCTAATCGGATTATAAGCTTGACCGCTGTATTGTATTCCGGCAGATACAAGGTGGGTTAGTCGAAAACATCTTAAATCGTCAGTTTCAGGTTGGTTTTTACTATTATATCGTATTACCTATCCTCTCTGTATTTCAGTTCTCTAATTAGGATTAAACTTGTAGTGAGCTATCAACAAATTGTGAACCGAGTATAGAGAGCGGACAGCAACGACTAGCGCTATGAAACTATTTGGTTGGCTAATAGATAGAAAGAACGCCGTTTGATTAATATGTCACGCATTAAATGCGTTCCTAAAATAATACATAAGCGAATTTATAACAAATATGAAGAAAGAACAGAAGACGTTCAATTTGGTTTCAAAAATGCCTTGGGAGCAAGAAAAACGTTAAACGAAATTGAATTTGATGACAAAGACATGCGAATGATTCAACACCTATATTGGAAAGCGAAACTAATGACCGCCAACTGCCTATACACATAAGAAATGGAGATAAGGAAAGGTGTAAGACAGGGTTGTATTCTCTCTCCACTACTGTTCAACAATTATGTAGAAAATATATTTCAGCTTGCATCATCATCATCATCATAAGTGGCTCGGCAATGTGTTGTAGATCTTGGCCTGCTCACAAAGAAGTCGCCACTCATTCCTGGCAACTTCCTTCCATCTTCTGACCCTAGGAATCAGTAGGTCTTCTTCCACATCATCAATCGATCTCTTTCGTGGTCGTCCTCTACTTCTTGTGCCCTCTGGTTTTGAAAATGTTAATATCTTCGTGTATTTGAGATCTGATATCGTAGCAATGTGTCCAGCCCATCTAACTCTGCACTTTAACGAATTTCACAATATCTGGATCGGTGTATAACTGATATAGTTTAAAATTGTATCTTCGAAACCATAGCCCATTTTAAGTTGTATCTTTGACACACTATAACTATATATCAGCAAATGCGAAAATTTGCGTCGATCTATTAAAAATAGTCCCATTCAGTCTAATACTTAATTTTCTGATTGCCTTTTCCAAGGCAATATTAAGAACATAGAGATTTTTCTCCTTCAATTACTGTCATAGTAACTTTTCTAGAATCTGCCTATAGCATCTGCATGTGTATTTCAGCGTGAATAACAAAACAAAAAAGTCATCAATATTAATGGTCTTCCTATTAGAGGAGGATGGGGCATTGTGAACCGTCTAAGGAAGATATGCACATACTGTTAAACCAGAAATGATTTTGTTTTGTTTAATTAATTAGGGACGTTCATTAAACATTTAACTATCATTTAGTTGCAATTGAAACATAATTTATTTAACGTATTTTCAACAAAAAAATGACAACTGACTATATGTCAAAAGTTCACATTGCCCCACCCTATGGGTGAGGAAAAGTCACACTATTTCATTATCTAATGGCTATGTTTGGTAAATAAAATCAAGTAAAAATAATTTTTTTATTAAAAATACTTAGAAAACCGGTAACAGAACATTAGTAAAAATAGACACATGTTATATTTATTCAGAAATACAAAATTCACATTGAAATTCTTCATCATCTTCTGGATCTATTCCCGCACATGCTTCATGAGCCCATTTCAGACAGGCCGAGCAACGTACCCATCCTTCTTCATTGGCTGATGAGGAGAACCACTCGTTACAGTAAAAACATTCAGCATCTTCACCATTGCCATCATCTTGTACTTGATGGTTACATTTATTTTTTTTTCTTTCCCTTACCATCTTTGGAAGGACAAACTTTTATTTTTTTGTTACTTCTTTCACTATCTTCGTGCTTATCATCATTTATTTTTTTCTTAGCTTTTTCCTTTTTCATTGTTTCTATTGCCTCCTTCGTGTTTATTTCAAGTTCTAATTCTAGCTTATACGGACTAGATGTCAGTACAGCCGTTTTACCTTTTTTAGATTTCCTCTTTGGTTCCATTAATTTACTTCTCTTTGGCAGAGGACGAATGTCTTTAGGGCTGTTTGCTCCAAATGAAGTTGTTGCTCTATTGTGTGCAGGGGAAATTGTCAATCGAAAATCGTTACCAGTATGAAGCTTTGCAACTGAGGTTGAAGCAATTACCTCATCTTGACTTAAGTGATGCTCTGCAGTTGAAGTTGAAGGAATTGCCTCATCTTGACTTGACACTGGTAGACTATTATTCTCCAAATCTCTTTCAGTCGTAGCAGATGGTGCAAAATCGAGGTATATTGGGATCATAAGGTACTATCCCACATTTTTTAAAAGCGTTAATAGCAGTCAAAGGTGTTGCAGCTTGTAAGAAAGCCTCACCAAAAATTTTAGAGATTTGGAAAGCTGTTACCACTCTGCCTGGGTTGTTATTAAGAAACTTTTCTAATGCCATATCATAATATCGTGCTAAAGGAGCCATGACACTAACATCGGTTGGCTGCATTCGATGGGTGGAATGTGGAGGCAAACAAATGATATGTACATGTTTTTCCCTAGCCAAATTAATGACTTCTATGTTTTTTGTATGGCTGCTGTATCCATCCAAAATCAATAAGATCGGATCGTCTACACTTGGTTTCGTTTGTTGAAGAAAATGTTGAAACCATATTAAAAAGAGTTCACTATTTATCCAGCCACTATCGCTACAGGCGAATATTGAACCTGGAGGTGCACCTGCTTGGAGTTCGACTTTCATTCTCTTTCTTGCAAAGATTAACATCGGCGGTATGAAGATTCCTGATGATGACATGCAAATAACGGCTGTTGTTATTCCACTTCTATCAGTAGAAGTAAGCCGTCCAACTTGTTTCCGTCCTTTATGCGCCAAGATTTTACTATTACATTTGGGGACTGTACCTAGACCTGTTTCCTCACAGTTAAAAACACGCGTTGGATTGCCATGTTTAGAATCCAAAGTAGCTTTATACAGATCAAAAAATTGTTTTACATTGTAACGATTAAAAGCTTCAGCTCTTGCAGCAGATGTTGATTCGGGTTTACGTAATGAAAGCCCTGGGTGCCGTTTTCGAAATCCGTACGCCCAATCTAAACCTGCAAGTTTAGGGAAGAAGGAATTTAATAGTTTAAAATTTTCCATTGAGTTTACTATGGCCCGTTTGACGATTCACCATCCAATATATACATAAATATTTAAGTAAACTAATAATGAAATATATTATAAATAATTCAGAGAATGTAACCGCTCGTATTTTGTAGGAATACCTCTCTACGAGGCCTTGGTGAAATAATAGAGCTCTGCAAAGTGATAGAGATAGAATCAATTTATCCACACATGACTATGATAAACCAAAGATTAGTAGACTTAATTAAAAGTTCCCGATCCCATGTCAGTAGGTATTCTTGTCAGGCACTTGGACATCTCTTCGAATACGCTAAGGACACCAGAAGGCCAGTAAGAATAATTAACAACTAAAATATACTTTTTAAAGTATCAAATTATTTGGTAAAGTTTGTTTAGCAGAAAATGGTTGACTTCAATTAGTGCGATCGTAAATATTATTAAATTTATCTGACTTGGCCCATTGTTAAGACCTTGTACCTCAAGTAAACCATTGTTACCTGAAGCCGGGCCTTTTATACTGTTATTGGTTTACCCAGGATGTTTATATTCTGTACTAATTGAAGCCAACCATTTACTGCTAAACAATCTTTATTTCTATAGTCTTCTACCAATTTATGCGATTAGTTTCGTTTTTATCAACATTATACTCAGTTACCAAATTTATACAAAGTACTGCTTGTAAAAAATATCCCTTCCTCTCATTTTAAGTGTTTTTGTTAATTAATACTTTATTTTATATGATTACTTGAAAATTCATAAACAAGGTTGGAATTATATCTTTCTAATTATCGACTTTATATCTCTCAATGACATATATTTCTGTAATCATTTATTAATCTTTACAAATGATCAAATATCATTGACTTCTAAGAAGAATTTAATTTATATCTAAAAAATATTAAAAATGTGGTTTTTAAAATACAGGGTGATTGATTAGTGTGAGGAAGCTCAGTAGATCTGTTATAGTAAAAATTACAAAAAAAAAGTTATTAACAAAAATTGTAGGCAGCTTTAAACTCCATATTTTAAAATTAGTTACAATCCTACAGGGTGTTCCATAAGATGGTGGCAGACCAAACTTATGTTTTTTTAAATGAAACACCCTATATTTTATTTTAAATTTGAAATCTGCTTCACTTCCACATTACAACAATGTAAAGTTTTATTATGTTATACCGGGTATTTAAATAGTTATAACCAATATTACCCGAAAATCGTATCAAGTTTAACTCCCTGTATAATTAAAAAGGATTGTAGGAACATTGATCTATTGCAACCATAGTTTTTTAATAATTGTTAAAAACTATAAAACATATTCATTTTCATAATATTCGTTAAATCAAATACAGGGTAAGTCAAAATGCAAGTACATTATTTTATTGGTAATTTTAAATAGAACACCCTGTATTTTATATCACTATCGAAAAGAACTAATATCGTACTTTATATTTTATAAAGTACTCCCTATACCTAAAGTTATTGGTTTTAAAGATATTTTTATTTTTCCATCAAAGTACATATTAGTTTGGTAGATATTTTAACGTTTACCAATAATTATTGTGAGTTGGACATGATTGATTTGTCAGAAACTGACAGTTTGACATTAATATTTATTAATTCAGTATTGGGGTACACCGTAAATTAGCAACAATTATTATTTAGTAATTCAGTAATTGATTCAATTTAAATTAGCAATAATGAATTTTACTACTGATGAAATGGTAGATATGATCTGGATATTGGGGGAATGCAATAAAAATTCATTACTATCAGCTAGAATTTATCAAGAACGGTTTCCAGATAGGCGACAACCTAGACAAGATACATTTGAAAAATTGAAAGATCGATTTAACCGCACTGGTTCAGTGAATTATGAAAAACATGAACGAACAAAAACTAGTGTGACAGAGGAAAATGAAATGAGTGTGTTGATGGCGGTTACAGAAAACCCACACACAAGCATAAGGACTATTTCCAATGAACAAGAACTTAGTTACTACTCTGTTCAAAACATTCTATCTAAAAACAAGATGCACCCTTATCATATTCAAAAGCACCAAGAATTAATTAATGATGATTTTCAGAAACGAATTTTCAGAGAGATTTTTTTGATTATGTCCTATTTGGTGATGAAGCTACATTCCATCGAAACGGTTCTTTTAATAGGCATAACTTTCACTACTACTCAACAAGTAATCCATACCACATAGTAACACATAGTCAAACAAGATGGTCTCTAAATGTGTGGGGAGCTTTCGTCGGTAACCATGTAGTAGTACCATATTTTTTTGAAGATAATTTAAATGGTGAGATTTATTTAGATTTTATCGCAAATCAGTTACCGATATTATTAGAAGAGGTTCCACTTAATATACGTGAAAAAATGTGGTTTCTACATGACGGTGCTCCTGCGCACCACAACGAATTAGTACGTGGTGAACTTAATAATCAGTTTGGGGAAAGATGGATCGGAAGGGATGGACCGGTAAGGTGGCCCCCAAGGTCACCAGAATTCAATAAAATAGACTCATTTTTTTGGGGTTACGTTAAGAACGAAGTATATAAAATACCCCCAACAACAAGGGATGATATGAAAAATAGAGTCCGAATTGCATTTCAAAATATTTCTTTACAAATGCTTAGTAATGTAACCAACTCTTTCAATGACCGTTTTCAAGCATGCATAGATGTTTTGGGAGGTCATTTTGAACACCTTACTTAAGTAAGATAAGTTAAACTTACTGTTGTTTTTAATTTTTCTATGTGTTGTTATATTTTTTTTTATTTTCCGTCGGTTATTTTTTATAAATTTTATTTTAAATAAATTGTTTTCTTTTCTGTGTCGTTATTTCGTTACTAAATTATTAAACAATAATGTCAAACTGTCAGTTTTTGACAAATCAATCATAACCAACTCACAATAATTATATTGTGAGTTGGTAAACGTTAAAATATCTACCAAATTAATACTTTGATGGAAAAACAATAATATCTAGAAAACTGATAACTTTAGGTATAGGGAGTACTTTATAAAATTTGAAGTACAATATTATTACTTTTTGATAGTGATATAAAATACGGGGTGTTCTATTTAGAATTACCAAGAAAATAATGTATTTGCATTTTGATTTACCCTGTATTTGATTTAACGAATATTATGGAAACGAATATGTTTTATAATTTTTAACAAATATTTAAAAACTATGGTTGCAATAGATCAATGTTTTTATACTCCTTTTTAATTGCACAGGGAGTTAAACTTGATACGATTTTCAGGTAATATTGGTTATAATTTTTTAGATACCCAGTATAACATAATAAAACTTTACATTGTTGTGATGTGGAAGTGAAGCCGATTTTAAATTTAAAATAAAATACAGGGTATTCCATTTAAAAAAACATAAGTTTGGTCTGCCACCATCTTATGGAACACCCTGTAAGATTGTAACTAATTTTAAAATGTGGAGTTTAAAGCTGCCTACAATTTTTGTTAATAACTTTTTTTAGTAATTTTTACTATAACAGATCTACTGAGCTTCCTCACACTAATCAATCACCCTGTATAAAACTATTTGTTTAAAATAAATATTATAAGTTTTCCATTTTTCTTCCGCTTGCTAAAAATCAGTTGATCTATTGAAACTGACGTAGCAATTCTTGGACTCTTGTCTCAAACATGGACGATGACAAACATCGATGAAGAACGTTTAAGATGCTTTAAACGTAAAATCCTCCGGCATATAGAGGAGTACAGGAAGGTGGATTCTGACGTAGACGCTATAATTTCGAACTTAACCGCCTGTATGACAAACCTGATATTATTAGGTCCATCAAAATAAACCGGCTGCGGTGGTTAGGTCACATAGACAGAATGAATGAGATGGTGCCGCCAAAACATATTTATAACCAAAGAATAGATGGAGTGAGAAGGAGAGGCAGACCCAGAGCACGATTTAAGGATCAGGTGGAGGAAGACTTGAGAATGTTGGGAGTACGAAACTGGAAAGCCAAGCGAAGAATAGGAGAGAATGGAGACTTATCTTTGAGCAGGTCAAGACCCTCCATGAGTTGTGGAGCCAATGATGGTGATGGATGTACAATTCGATTTTTCGAGTCAATTATGTCTATTTCACATTTTTTGAGCCTTTTTTTCTTTCTCTGAGGGTGGAAATTTCTAAAAACCGTACCAGGTTAACCCGTCTCTGCGGATGGCTGGTGTGTGTTGAAGTCAGGGTAGAGGAGTACATCCGAGCTCATTTCCTCTTAGGAGGTCCTGTAAACAGATGTCTTCCTGTTCGAATGTAATTATGTACAATATTCCATCCCTTCTTACTTCCCGTCATCTTCATGATCATCTATCTATCTCAGTTACAGGGTTCATACTTATTTCTCTATACATTCTGTTTCTCTCCACTGTCTATCTATTACACTCCAGCATTGAAGGAAACCAGGATGAGGAAGAATATCCTGGCTTGCTAACCTGAGAGCATGATATAGAAAGACCTCAACACAGCTATTTCGTATAGAAAACAATAAAGTCATCATAGCCAGAATGATCACCAACGTTCGGAACGGATAGGCACCATAAGAAGAAGATTGTGTGAGTTATTACAGTGTCCGGGTATTCACAGTATAGGCATTTATCTGTATCTGTCTTTCTGAATCTATGAAGAGATGTCCTAAAATACCCATGTCCTGTGAGCACTTGCGTCAGAAAGTAATACAGTCGCCTGTGACCACAGTCCACCCAGTCCCTTAGGCTCGGGATCAGCATCTTGGTCCACTGAGCAACATTTTCCGTGTTGTTCCAGTCTTTTTGTCATCTTTCTATTGATCTTTCTCTTTCTTCTTTTTTTATGGCTGTTGGTAAATATTCTCTTTTCTCATGGATATGTCTCCTTTCTATTACAAATACATGCAGAGGAACACAACCCGTAATAGTCCACAAGGCCACCGCAGATACAGGCGCATGCCACTCGCAACAGATTTGTTCTGTCTACTCGTATCATGAGCCCCTTGTATGACGGTATCTCCATCGCCTCACTCCAGACTGGTGCCGCGTCAAGGGCGAGGGGCGCACAACACCGTGTAAGGCTCTCCTCCTTTTTGATTTGGGTCCTCCCCAATGTTAGGCATCACCCTCTCCATCGCAGCCGCACTCTTCGCTGCCTTCTGAGCTACCACACGTATATCCTCCCCCCAACCGCCATATTGGTGTAGTGTCACTCCCAGATATTTGACGCTTTTCTTTGATGTTAGTTGTACACCTACACATTGGAGTTCCATCCCTTGTCTTTTCCGTTGACACTTTAGAATAATGGCTTCGGTATTTTCTGAGCCAATGAGCCTAAATTCGTCGCATTTGCGGGAATTAGATTTCTCTTGAGCTATTTATTTGGTATTACGCTACAAAAAGATGAGTTAGTAGTTTTATGCTGTTATCATCTATTAGTTTTATTACATCGATTTATATTTCGTCTGATCCAAAAGCGTTCAAATTCTTTGCATATTGTATCTCTTTTCGCACGTCTATGTCTAGGATTGGGGTTTGGGGTCCTTCCATTTCCCACGTCTACACCTGTTACAATTCAGGTCTGTCATCCGCAAAGAATTGTTCGATAAATTCCTCCCATACATGAATTTGTTGGCTTATTTCTATAATTATTCTTCCGTTGTTGCCAGCTAGAGTAGGTATATTATGTTTCTTGTTATTATTGGAGATTTCTTTTAATTTTTTGTAAAGATTAAATGTATCATGTTTTTTGTCCAGGTTTTCTATCACTCACTCACGTCACCCATTTTATTTATCCAATTTTCTTTTGCTTCCTTAATCTTTAAATCTATGGTTCTTTGGATTTCTTTATATAGATGTGGGATGTTTTTGTGTTTTCTTCTCTTTTCCATGAGTTCCAAAATAGCTTCTATCATCCATTTTTTTGATGTTATGTCTGCTTTGATTGTTTTTTTAGGTCTTCATTAAGTTTGGTTGCTATTTGTTCTTTATTAGTTTCATTTCATATTTCAATATTTCGTTTCTTTGATTTGTTCAAATCAAAGCAAAATCAATTTGATTCCTTACAATCTTTTGATTATTGTCTTGAGGTGTTTTTCATGTATAGATTTGCCTAGGAGGTTGTTTAAACCAGGTCTTTTATACCACATATTCTTTTTCTTGGCAAATTTATATCAGATGATTGCTCCTGTCATTGCATGTGCCTAATCAGTTTTCTCCAGTGATATCAGCTACTTTTTTGCTGATTTTTGCATTAAAATCGCCAAGTTTAATGCTGATGTGGTGTAGCGAAACGTCGAGATGAACCCACTTTTGGGTCACTCACAAATGACACGGTCCAAACCCGGAAGACGAATAAACTATAATTCTGACTCTGGCCGTGGAAGCCTATGATTTCATAATACCATTTTTGAGCTCTTCGATGGTAAATGGGTTTCGTAAGAGAGTTGTTTCCTGGTCTTGAGTTCTTATAATATTTGTCGTTTTGCAACGATTGTTTGTTTTGCCATTCAGAAGCAAGAGGGCTATCTGATTTGGCGTTATTGCACATAGCTCTTTCATCTCTGTGGGACCACCATTAAGTTTTTTGATCATATTCCAAGCCTGCTTACTACTGTGCGTCATATCCATTTTACTTAAAGTCTCGCTCCACCGTTGTTGTCTGGAGGCACTTAGTATTTGCTGCAGTCTCTCCCCTATCTCTGCCGTAACTTCGCTAAATGGGTCTTTACTATATTCTTCGGTGTACTTTGTCATAATGTCTTTTGCTTCATCGTTCAGACCAGATATGTAATGTTGTTGACATCCTCTGGGTATGTGTTTACATGAGATTCGTTTTATAAGTTTGATGCACGCTTATATGCAAATATTATACGATGTAATCGTTAGGTCAAATAGCATAACTATTCGCTGTGTGCAAGTACTTGAAGGGGATAGGAGAAACAATCGTGCGCGTGCAGCGGTGAAATCGTGAAACTTCGATAGCATATTTCATTAGTAGTTTTTGAAGAAAATGGGATTTTGCAAATGCTGGGTTATAAATTGTAAAAATACAACAAAAAATAGTAAATTCAAATTCTATTGGTTTTCAACTTCTAAGCACAAATTAATTAACGAGAAAAGTGGATTTATATCATAATAAAGCAGAACATAACCTAAATTCTGCATTTTTACGCTCGATTTCATAATAAGTTTGACATGAACATTAAATTAAAGTTCACTTGTTTCATGTTTGCTCAAATGTGTTCAATTTAGTTTAAATCTAAAATGAACATTAGTTAAAGTGTACTTTAGGTTGTCATTATGAAATCGGGCTTTAATGTCGCTCCAAACTATTGATATGATATGCAATTATTAATTGTATTTTACAGTGAATATGATAGTTGGTTGAAAAGGTATTTTATGATTTATTTTCTAGAGTACAGTTTTTATTATTGCATCTATATTATTATATATGGATGTAATACATATAATTTTATTTACTACATACAATTTTTACCTTTTTATTACCTCATAACCTTACTTTTAAATGTCAAATACTGAAATCTAAACGTAAAACATATACTTATGAATTTTTACAGTTAAAAATCAATTCAAAATTTTTCAAGTACCTTCGCTGATTTATGCCAGGAGATGTTGCTCTTCGGAACTTGGACATGGAGAATAGTTTCTTACAAGAGTTTATTTTTATTAGTAGTGTTCTTGTGAGTTTGTTCCATTGAACTCTTGTATAGCACGTGTTATTTCGCTTACCAAGCTATCGTGTAATACCCACTGCACTAACTGCACCTAGCGGAATTTATTCTCAAATAGAACAAATTTTAAATTTGAACACATGCGCGTAATATGAAATACTTTTCTCCAAATAATCGCTCCTCTCATCTACACACCAGATTCCAGTTTTAAAATACTATAAAGATATATTTTTTTGTAAAAATATATCTAGAACAATAACAATAAAGACGTAATGGACGAAGTCGTAAAACTAAATAGGTAGTTTTTTCACAAATATTTACCTAACATATCACCTATTGTAGATCTTAACCGAAATCATATTTACATATATAATATCTATATCTTTTTCAGGAATTCTGTGAACTAGTCGATACTCTTCTTTCTAAATGTGCCTCCGCAAACAAATTTATTCGACACGATGCCAACCTGGCGTTAGATTGTATGGTGACTCACATTCCGATATTTCATTCCGTTCGGGCTCTTTGCGCTAACGGCCCACAACACAAAAACCCGTTAGTGCGCACAGCAGCTGCTAGGTTACTGGTGTGTGCGACAGTTCTAGCTGTACCGCATATCTTGCATCCTCAAAGCAATGAGCATACCAGGAGAAGAATCATACAGACGATGGTTAGTTTTCTAGAAGATAAGCACGCTGAAGTTAGGTAGATACTGATTTATATTTGATAAAAGAGTATAGGGGAAGGGTGGGCAAGTTGACATAGCCGGGCAAGACAACATATTGTCCCTACCACCAAAACTAGTCCATTATTCGTTTAGTCCACACGCTCGTTACTACAATATAAATCTACTCCTTCATAGTAATCGTTTGATAGTCTTTGGGTGTGGATGATCCGTACGTTTAAAAAAATATTTACGTTTTTGTGTCATTGTTGCGTGTTGGTCCAATGTAAGTTATGATTTATTTTGGAGATAAAAAGATTGCAACTGCTCGTAGGTTATATTTTAACCGACCATGTTTTCATGTTATGATCACACGCGCTAGCGGGCAAGTTGAGATATAGTCGTGTCATTTTGCCCTCTATAGGACGGATCTATGAAATATTTCTGGTGGAGGGTAAAAAAGCTCTGGGCCCAACTTTTACCCTAAATTCCTTTCAAATAAAATTCTCAACTAATGTTTTGGGTACTTACTATTATTATAAAAGTAAAAAACATGGGTTACCTATATATTTTTTAGTATATTTTTAAGCTCTTACCTATAGTATTTTTATCCAATTTTTTCTATTCATTTAAATTATGGTGGGACCTGTCTGGGGGAGTAATTATCCCCATTGCTCCCCCCGTCCCTCCAAAGATCTGCTCTTGGCCATCGTGACCTAAAATTTGCAACTGCTGTGTTTATTTACAGATGGTTTCTAATTATAAAAGAAAAACCAATAGAGGGGCATGGAATGAGAATAACATGTAGCGAGCGTTGCAGGCTGTAGCGTAAAAGCGCATGGTTTGGTTAAAAGCTAGCAGGCATTACCAAGTGCCCCAGGCAACACTTCGCCACCGTGCCATGAATCGACATAAAATAGCAGTTGGTACAAGAAAGCATCTTGGCAGACATGAAACAATCTTAAATCGAGAACTAGAAGAGGCTCTAGTGGAGCATATGTTAGCACTGGAAGCCAGATTTTTTGGCTTCACGCCCATAGATGTCTGCATTTTGGCATATGAATTTGCAGTGAGAATGAAGTTAAAACATCAATTCAATAACACGAAAAACATTTCAGGCAGAGGTTGGCTACGTTCTTTTGGACTAAGGCATCCGAATATATCTTTACGTCAGCCAGAGGTAACATTAAGGGCATGCGCTGAAAGTTTTTACAAACCACAAGTAAAGACCTTTTTTAAAACTCTACGTAACGTAATAAATATTGAAATCGACAAAAGTATGATTTTTAACATGGATGAGTCAGGGTTGACAACTGTACAAAATACTTTTAAAATTTTTGCGCTAAAAGGAAAGACACAAGTGGGTGCCATCAACAGCGGGGAAAGGGAGTATATTCAACTGTAGTAGCGTGCATGAGTTCAGGAGGAACTTATATTCCACCTGCTATAATTTTTCCTCGGAAGAAATTCAATTCAACATTATACGACGGAGCGCCCCTTGAGACTTTATGTTTGTACAATGAATCAGGTTACATGACCGGTGAGCTATTTTTAAAATGGATGGAACACTTTATTAAACAAGTTCGACCGAACACCAAACACAAAGCCCTGCTAATTTTAGACGGGCATGTCAGCCATAAAAATTTAGAAGCATTGGAACTTGCAAAAAACAATTCAGTTGTGCTATTTTGCTTGCCTTCACATTGCACACATCGTCTCCAACCTCTCGATGTGTACTTTTTCGGGCCACTAAGTAAGTACTACCATGCAGCAGCAACTCGATGGTTGAAGGAAAATCGAAGTCGTGTCATCACTCTTTACCAGGTCGCGTCGCTTTTTTCTTCCGCTTACAATAAAACCGCAATACCAACGATAGCTTTAAGCGGTTTCAAAGCAACAGGGATCTCACCTTTCAACCTGGATATATTTCCAGAACACATGTATTTGCCCAGCACAGTAACTGACGTACCACTTAAGGCCGATAATGCAAACACTGAATCCTTTAATCCGGGTGCATGTTTTACTGCAGCAGAACATTTGAATGAAGAAGATCGTCATATGCCACAAACGTTTTGTTGCAAATTTCACCTCTTCCTCAGGGAAATGCAAGAAAGTCCAGAAAAAGAAAGGCCAATAGTTACCAAGATGTTCTTACCACGAGTCTATACTTCCTGAGTCTTCGTGTACAACAGAATATTAAGAAAGCGAGAGAGGTAAGAGGGAGTAAGCAAAACTTAGTAAAGAAAAATGTGTTTGATGGTACCTTAGAATGTGGAGATAAAGACACTCAAAAAGATTGTCGAGATAAGAGAACCGGAAAATTAAGAACAAGTAAACGACGTGCATTTGATAGAGTATGTAGGGACAGACTGTGGACAGCGATGCAGGAACTTGGCTTTCCAAAAAAACTAGTCCGGTTGATACGAATGTGTATGGAACGGTTACGATGTAAGGTGAGAGTTGGACAACAATACTCGGAGACATTTGAAATAAACAATGGACTAAAACAGGGAGATGCACTTTCACCACAACTCTTCAACTTAGCTCTGGAGCACATAATCAGAAGTGCAAGAATCGAAAAACCGAATACAGTATTTCATCGAGAAGGACCAAACTTACTACTGGCATTTGCAGACGATATAGATCTAATAGGAAACACGCGATTAAAGATAAAGGAGACTTTCGTAAGGTTTGAGAAGGAAGCAGGGAAGATGGGGCTCCAAATCAACGAAAATAAGACGAAATATATGTATATGAGCCGCAATAACCAAAGCAGAGACAGAATCGGTCAGAACATTACCATCGATGACTTTAACTTTGAGCGCGTTAGAGAATTCAAGTATCTTGGAACAACAATAACTGAAGACAATAACGGATCACAAGAAATAAACAACAGGATTCAGGCCGGCAACAGATGTATTTTTGCCCTCCAAAACCTTATAAAATCAAAACAACTAACACGAGGTACGAAGATACAGGTCTATAAAACAATCATACGACCCATTGTGATGTATGGAAGCGAAACGTGGACGATGACAAAGGCAAATGAAGAGAGACTACGTGTTTGGGAAAGAAAAATCCTAAGGAAGATCTTTGGTCCGGTGCTTGATGAAGCATCAGGACAATATAGGATAAGAACTAATAAAGAGCTTGAAGAACTTTACCCAGAAACCAACATCATAAAAGAAATAAAGTCCAGAAGACTCCAATGGGCAGGACACCTCAGAAGACATTCTGATGAACGAACAGTAAGACTGGTGTGGGAGGAAGTCCCAACTGGAAGGAGACCACGCGGACGCCCTCGTCTTCGGTGGCGAGATAATATAGCAGGAGACCTAAGCACTATGGGCGTGGAGAATTGGATGGAGGTTGCTCAAGATAGAAAACAGTGGAGGCATGTTGTCGAGTCGGCTAAAACCCACGAAGGGTTGTAACGCCACGGAGTAAGTAAGTAAGTAAACGACGTGCGGCAGTTAAAATCTATAAAAAAAAATCAGACTGTGAAGAGCCCTTTAATGAGGATGACGACGATGATTGCGCATGCCTCTATTGCAATGAGTTGTATAGCCTATTCAAATCTCAAGAAGGCTGGTTACGTTGCCAAAAGTGTCAAATGTGGGCTCATGCAGAGTGTGCAGGACTATCAATTAGGCTAAGAACTTTACTTGTGAATTATGTTTTGATAATTGATTACTCTATGTATAAATCCACGTATATGCCGTCTTGCCCTCTAGTGTAGGGCAAGATGACATTTTGACTCTTTTTTGTTTTACATTTACAGTTTTAAAATGGAGTTCTGTTTTTGTTTTTCACTTGATAAATATTATAAAAGAATGTTCTGTTTGTATTATGGCGCTTTTTAATTCATGATACATTTTTCAAAATAAATCGATTTATGTCGACGCCCACCCTTCCCCTATGTAAAATCTTTTAATGTTATAAACGATACATTTTATCTATTATCTTCAATTCATTATTTTATTACTGATTTCTTTTAGTGTAGGGCGTGATACGTGAAATAACGTGATTCACGCTACCTGTCGTGAGCGTGAGTAACCTCAGCGGACATGAACGTAAGCGATGCTTTGGCAAATGCGAAATCTCGTTTTCTGGAAAGACGTTGAAAAGGATCATCGACGACGTGAAGGCTTAGAGTATGCGAGGGATTTGGTTGTTGTCTAATTGGAACTTCTTTCTGGTTTAAACTCCTTTCGAGTTCAGAGAGCGGAAATTTGCAAATTTCCGTGGTTTCTCTTCTTGATATACCCATTGCCGCCGGTGCGGAAAATCTTAGCACTTTCATAGGAAGATGAAGTGTACACATTTAGAAACAACTGCTAAGCTCTATAAACACTAATCGCAGTGAGCAAGAAAAATAGTAGGAAGAAAACGAGAGAAGAAAAAAAACAAAGGCAAAAATTATGGCAATGTCAACCACAAGGTTTAACAACACAACAACACCAAGTGCAAACCTTGGAGAAACCAAAATAAAGAAAATAATTAACGTGTACAAAAAGAAAAACAAAATAAAGCAGAATATTTAGCAACTAGGTATTTTTTATTTTAAAATTTCACATTTGGATTTAGATATAAAGACGCCGATTTCTGTTATGGAACGATTATACAAGAACCTGAAAAAATTTTATCGGCAGATATCTACAAATATCAATATAGAATCCAAACAAAATCTTTCCGTGGCACTTTCTTTTAGTTAATAAATATTTCTTCTAGTTATACATTTTTTTGTTAAACCAACTTTGTGCTTATTCTAATTTGTTTCAGAAAGTATGGCGAAAGATTGTATAAAATGCTATGTAAGGAAAGAATATTTGACTTGTATCTCAACAAGTACCTCGAAAAAGATGTGGTAAATAAAATGAAGAAGATTATAAAAGTGGGTAAAATATGAGACTTAAGATGAAGTAATGTAATGTAGTATATTATATATTTATATTATAACGATTTTGAGTATTATTTATAAAATAAAAAAAAAATTGGAACCTAAATACGTTTTATTATTTTCGACTAAACCAAATTTTATATTATTACAAATTTCATTTCATCTCTGACCATCAACAGGAAGAAATCGAGTTGATAACATTGCACTGCAATGTTGTCAAGTATTTAAAATGGAAAGTTATTTTTAATGTGTTTAATTTTAGTACAGAAGCTAATTCAGATAGATAATTTTAGTAGATCTGAAAAAAGTACTTCGGTTACGATGGAAAACTGATAATCGAGAACTAACTTGAAGGAAAAAGACCTAGGGGAAGAGCTCCGAGCCGTTAGGTGATTCAAACAAAAATACTGAATAAACGAGGGTTACACTAAGACGAACCACAGCTAAGGACAGAAAAAGATGAAAGGAATTGTTAAAAACTTTATGGTGTCAACATATCCCTAAAAAGGATAGGCGGCTCGCCACTATTTAGTTGCCAATCCTGCCAAAATTAGACCCATTTACAATATGGGTGACGGAACTTACTCCTTAATTTTAGGTTCTTCTACTTTTTCTGATATCTTCAAACAGATCTCGCACCGAATTGTTTTTGATTGGTGTAATTGGAAATTAATAGTAAAAAACAAAATAAAACAAAAACAAAATTTTATTTTCACCTTACAGTAGCTCATATTCCATATCATTTAACCAAGCTTTGTCACAATAACTGTTTAATAGGTACCTACTTTTTTATAGTTACAGTTTCAAATCTCCAAATATAAAACATAATGCTTTCTGCAAATATAAGAGTCATGAAATGCTACCTAAAACTTAAAGTGGGACAAACAAGAACGAAATTGACGTCAGTTGGTAACACTGTCATGTACTGTAGTATATGTCACTGCTGGGCTCGATCAACGTTTGCTGAATCATTCAAATGAATGACGTAATAATTTATATTTGAATAAAATCAACCATGAATATATACAGATAATCTACATTATATGTCCCGATGTATACTTGAAAAGCTACCGTTTACAGAGTTTATAACTTTTACAAATACAACAGTTGAGTAAAACAAAACCCTTTTTTTGGTTTTATAGACATTGGTTGAAAAATAGCTCTTTTGATCCACTTAATGTGGACAAGCCCAACATTCCTGTTTTATTTATCGAGAGTTATATGTGATTTCTGTGGTTTTCCGGCCTCACCTCCACGTTGAATAATTTTGGTTGAAAACCATTGTTTTGACGCCGATCACACTTGTCAAGTCAGATTAGTTCTGTGTCTTCCTGATGTTTGAGAAGTGATTTCTAGGCCGCTGTGTGGTCTGCTTAAATATCTTGCTGCGCTTCTTCTGATCGGCCATGTGTGGATTCGATTGCATAGGCCACTCTAATTTTTACGATTTTCTGTAGAATTGGTTTACATGCAGTTGGGAGTCTTATACATAATTTTTGACAAGGTGAGGGAACAACACCAATTTTTTAAGGCCTCTTAGCCTATCTCCAGTCCAGGTTTTTTCTATTGACTGCTTTTCCTCATCATCATCATCACTGGCTCGACAACCCTTTTTGGGTTTTGGCCTGTTCAAGGATTCTTCTCCATTCTGACCTGTTTCGTGCTTTTTTTTCCAGTTTTTAATTTTTAATGTTGTTATATCATTTTCTATTTGTTCTACGTATCTCAGCTTCGGTCTTCCTCTTGTTCTTTTTCCTACTGGCACTTGTTTGAATATTTTGTTTGGTATTTCGCCTTCTTCCATTCTTTCCACCTGTCCAATCCAACGTAGCCTTCCTATTTTAATGAATGTTATGATATCCGGATCCTGGTATATGTTGTATAGTTCAAAGTTATACCTTCTCCGCCAAATCCCGTTTTCTTTTGTGCCCTTATATATGTGTCGCAAGATTTTTCTTTCAAAGGTGGCTAATAACGTTTCCTCCCTTTTAGAGAGTGTCCAGGTTTCTGAACCGTATGTGAGTACCGGTCTTATTAAGGTTTTGTATATTTGGCATTTTGTTTTTCTGGAGACGTTATCTGATCTTAGTTGCCTAATTAAGCCATGGTAACATTTATTGGCAATAAATATTCTCCTCTTCACTTCCTCTGCAACGTTGTTATCAGACGTAACTAGGGATCCTAAGTATGTAAAGTTTTTTACCACCTCAATGTTGTATTCTCCTATTGTTAAATTTGGCAGCTGCCTTATTTGTGCGTTTTTATTTGCAGGCATATATTTTTTTTTGTCTGATTGATTTTAAGACCACTATTTTTTGCAGCTCGTTCTATTTGAGTGAATGCCTCTATCATTTCTCTTCTTGATCTTGCGATTATGTCAACATCATCTGCAAATGCTAGTACTTGCACGCTTTTATTAATTATTGTTCCTCGGGTATTAACTGTTGTGTCTCTTATTATTTTTTCAAGTATGATGTTGAATAATATGCATGATAGAGCGTCTCCCTGGCGTAGTCCCTTCTTCACATCTATTGTTTCCGGTAATTCGTTTTGTATCCGGATTTTACTTTCTACTTTTAGTGTTTCTTTTATCAATTCTATTAGCTGTGTTGGTATATTAAATTCTTTCATTGCTTTTGTTAGGAATTTTTGGTTTATATTGTCATATGCGCTTTCGAAGTCTATGAAGAGATGATGTGTGTCGATGTTATATTCACTTGTTTTTTCAAGGATCTGTCGCAGAACAAATATCTGGTCTATTGTTGACTTCTGTCTACAGAAGCCACATTGGTATTTGCCAACTATTTTTTCAGCGGCTGGTCTAAGTCTTTCATACATTACGTTGGACATTATTTTATATGCCGCATTCAACAGCGTGATTCCACGGTAGTTTTCACATTCTAACTGGTTTCCTTTTTTATGTAGTGGTACAATAATGCCACTATTCCACTCCTTTGGTAGCTGTTTATTCAACCATATCTTTCTTATCAGCTCATGTATGGCTTTAAGTAATGCGTCTCCTCCTTCTTTCAGTAGCTCCGATGATATTTGATTCGATCCCGGTGATTTATTGTTCTTTAATTTGTCCACTGCTGTTCTAATCTCTGCTATTGTTGGTGGACTCTTTTCTCTGTTGTCTGCTTGGTCTAATGGTATATCAGGGTTCATCTCCGTCCTATTCACCCCAAGCTTTTCCTTAAAATGTTCTGTCCATCTTCTAAGTATCTCTTGCTGTTCTGTCAATATATTACCCTCCTTATCTTTACACATCGTTGTTCTCGGTTTGAACTCTTTTCTGCTTTTGTTGAGTTTCTGGTAAAATTTTCTTGTCTCTGTTGGTTTACTTAGTTCTTGTAGTTCTTGAAGTTCTTTGTTGATATATTCTCTCTTCTTTCTTCGGTGAATTTTCATTTCTTCTTTACGTAGTTGTTTATATTCTTCCCCTGCTTGTCGGGTTCTGTGCCTCTGTTGCGTCTGTAGATATCCTCTGTTTTTTCTTTCTGTTATAGTTTGACATTCTTCGTCAAACCAGTGATTCGTTCTTGTTCTTCTTTCTTTACCTTCCATGCCCAACACCTCTTTAGCTGTGACTGCTTTTCCTACTTTGCTTTATTTCAGAGTCATATAAACAGCGAGTCAGCACAGCCTCTTCAAACAATAAGCTCCTGTTTTGTTTGGGGTGGATACTGATTTACCGGAAATCTCAGAAGTAGAGTTGTCAACTGTTTTCAGAATTGATTGGGCTTTAGTAAACGCGTAGAGGTTGGTTGTGGCTAGGTCCTAAGGACAGGTATCGTGAAGAGAGATTGGAAAAGTATAAGAAACCAATCTCCCCTTGTCCTTTGTGTGTTGACTCGACTATAAAGGAGTATGTTGAGGCTCTTACTTTCCAACGTTTGGCTTCAGGGTAATGTCTGTTTTAGCATTGTAGGTAGTGGTTGGCGAGTGAGTGTCCTCTGGGAACTGGACGCTTAGGGAGCGAATGTAACTAGGATTAATATCGAGATTGGATAAATTTTTAATTTATGTTATTCTGAAGCTATTTTCTTGTGGCATTTTAATAAAATTTACTATTTTATTGGGAATAAGCCACAATTTTACTTGAAAATTTTATTTTGACGTTTCGATTTCCGAAGTGGAATTTTGGCTTATTTTTGACCTTTGATTCATGGTATGGTTGTATGTCGAGGTCGATATAGCGTGACCTACATATTTTATGAAATCTCGTTACCGAGATCGGTGTCGCCATTTCTTTTTTGTGGAAAGACGTTGAAAAGGATCATCGACGACGTGAAAGCTTTAGAGTATGCGAGGGATTTGGTTCTTGTCTAGTTGGAACAGACACGATGTTTTTTGATGACGTCGGTGTTGTTTTCTTGCTGATCTGACAATGTAGTATTTCTCCGTTAATCTGAATATCTCGAAAGTGCTTCAGCGAATTTGGATTTTGAGTCTTGTGAAGACTCGTACTAAGTTGATTGGAATGAAAAAACTTTTGTGCATGGTAAATTAATTTTCGACAAGCTATCCTGGATGTCTTTTTGTGATAGGTATTTGTTCACGCCGTTCATTACTAGGTGAAAGTTAAATCTTTCTGGATATGGGATTTGGATTGTAGGTGGCTTTGAGAGAGTCTAGAGCCTATGGTGACTAGGTTGTCGAATAGTCATCAGCCAACATAGTTTCATGGATTGGAAAGTATTGAAGTTAGTTATTTAGTTTGACGTATAAACTTTGAGAGAAGCGATATTATTCAAACTGAAGCTCGTTAGATTTTATGCTAAGAAAGAATTTTCTTTGTTGGTAAATGCTGTAATGTTTTCTCTCCTATATTTGTATGGGTTTTGTTGGACTGTAGGGGCGGTTTGGATGTGTGATGTGGTAGGACTTAAGGCTTGAGACGATTGAGAGTTGTGCGTTTCGGATGATGATTGTCTGGGTTGGTCGGGTGGTGTAGAATTCATCGTAGGTTGAAGAGTGAGCTGGGTTGTTGTAGGGGGTGGTTTGGTTTTGGTAGATTTTTGGGCGGTTTTCTGAGGAAGAGGGATTTCTTAGTCGGATTCAATAAGATGTTATTTTCATCGTTGTGCTATCTGATCTGTGTTTGTAGAGTTCTAGTGCTAATTTTTTTTGGTGCGTAGGTTAGTAGATTTGTCGGATGTGTTAGCTTTATGGGAGTCTAGGTTGGATCCAAAAGGTTGTGGTTTTTACAGAATCGGCTAAATTTACATTGGTTGCAAAGATTTAGATAAACTTTGGGGTGGAAACTATCGGTAGTAATTGGGGTGCGACTTAAGTGGTCGGATCGGCTGGTTACTGTCAGATGCCTTTCCCTGTGCGGTCTCTTAGTTTTTTTTGTAGAGCTTTGGTGTTTATTGGTAGTTTGGTGTACCGGTAAGCGGATTTTTCAAGTTGGTTGACGTAGATGGCTTCTTACTCGGTTTCGACTATGAGTAGACCTTCGAGGCAGAATTTTGTGTGAATATGGTTGATGATGTACTTGAATTTACCTATCATTCTTTTGTCGTTTGTCTTAATACGAATTATTTGATTGATAAATTTCGAAATACAGGTCCTATGACAGATGCACCAAAAACTGATCGTCCTAGCGATTTTTAAGAGAAACAAATGGTCTAAAAAAGTCCATTAGAAAACAAGCGATGTTTGTGATGATGAAACTGATGTCCACATAGCTGTAAGGAAAAAATTAGAACTTTTCGGCAAACCGCTGGGTTTGCGATGTGTAAAAGATATTAAAAAAAATAAATAAATATAAGTAAACAACAATAAGGGCATTGGATAAAACCAACATGAAATTTGAAAGTTAAGATTTAGTCTTAGGAACCTAACGACAGATTTCGAGATTAACAGGAAGTCCTAGATTCAGCAATGAATACAATATGTTTTGACTTAACTTCCAATTATATTTTCTCTCCTTTTTTAAAATAGGTACCCACAGATAAATAATTTAAATATAAAATTACAAAACAAACCTACAAAAATTGTCGTAGTAAACTTTTAAATTGGTTAAAAATACTATTATATCTGTCATGATTGAAAACTTTCATAATTCAGCCTTCTTGTTCAATAAATAAACTATGCTCAGCTATCACTTTGGTTACTATACTATCTTCTAGATCGACCCCATTTGCCGCCTGTTCTGGAGTGATTTTCACTTCTTCGCTAGAATCCGGTTTTACAAAGATCACTGCCGTTCTTCTAGTATGTAGCATATTGCCAATTACCAACTGTAAAAGTAAAATCTTTATTAAAACTGTTGAATTTTCGCAACTTTTTATACAAATATTAAATTAAATATTAAATGAAAAGTGTCTTTACGTCGTACCGATCACTAAAGAAGGTACGAATCAAATGAGAAAAACATCAATAACTGTATGAATTGCGCGACATTGGTGTTAATAGTCGCCCCCACTTAGATTTTCGGTATGCAGTCACCCAAAGATTTTATTTTTTTATTTTATTAATTTATTAAAACTTACAAACACCACCTAGATAGTAATTACATGTAAGAGTGCTCATTACTTGGTATAACAATATACACACAAAAAATACAATATACACACAAGTACAAAATAAAAACACAGAAAGTAAACACATTAAAAAAAGACACAAGTTAATAAAATTTTAAAATTGAGTCCATTACTTATCTATTCATAATATTTTTTAATATCCCTTACACTACAGTTAAAAGAGGTCTATATCACAGATCTTTATTAACGCATTACACTGATATTGCATATAGTTTATTATTGCACAAGAATTATATGGACTACAAGAAAATAGGTCATTACTGTTTATCCTTAGGTTGACCTTTGGCACATGAAACCTAATAAAGTTGATCACATGTCTTATATTTAACATTGTTAATAATCCACTAGGAAACTAAGTTCCTGTAGCTGGCTGTATACCATATATCCCAAAAAATCTATTTCAAATCCTTTATAATAGGTATATAATAAAATGCCCAAACGGGCATCACAAATATATTACAAAACGTTTTCGGATTGTTAAATTCATCATCAGTGTAAACGAGGTATACATGCTATGAGCCACCAAAATATATGGGTCAAAACCCTTTAAATGATATAAATTTACAGTTGTTTTACATTATATCCAATCCCTATCCCTACAAGAGTTGGGATTGGATGCAAAGGATATAAGAATCATCGCCAATCTGTATTGGAATCAGACAGCAACAGTACGTCTTCAAAATTCCAACGAAACAGAAGATTTCTCCATTAAAAAAGGAGTAAGGCAAGGTTGTATACTGTCCCCAATGCTGTTCAATTTATAGTAGAAAAAGCCTTCGCAGAAGCAGTGGAAGACTCTAATAAGGGTATTAAAGTTAACGGCATATTTATTAATAACATCAGGCATGCCGATGATACAGCCATAGTGGCAGATAACGTCGAAGATCTTCAATGCCTTTTAAATGATCTAACTCTTGCAAGTGAAGCTCGGGGTTTGAAAATCAATATCAAGAAGACAAAATCAATGATTATAAGTAGAAATGATTACCCCAACGCAAAGATATATGTCTCTGGAGAAGAAATCGAACAAGTCAGGCAATTCAAATACTTGGGATGTTTGCTGAATGAGGGTTGGGACCCCGAGAATGAAATAAAGAGCAGAGTTGAACAAGCCAGAAATGCTTTTTTGAGGCTTCGTAAGTTTCTGACTGATCGCAAATTGGACTTCAACCTCCGATACAAGATGCTTAAGTGTTACGTGTGGCCTGTTCTCCTGTACGGAATGGAAGCATAGACGTTAAAGGCCAGTTCCATTAACAAACTTGAAGTGTTTGAAATGTGGTGCCTGCGTCGAATGCTGAGAATATCATGGACGGACAGGGTCAGAAATGAGGAAGTACTCAGAAGAGCGGGCTTACAGGATAGGGAACTTTTTAATTATGTAAAAAGTAAGAAGACTGCATACTTGGGGCACATAATACGAGGAGAACGATACACTTTTCAGCAACTGATACTCGAAGGGAAGATAGAGGGTAGGAGAGGTCTCGGACGTAAAAAAATGTCATGGCTGCGCAATATTCAACAATGGACAGGAATCCACAGCTATGAAATGCTTCGCAATGTTGCTAAAAACAGAATTATTTAATCCAGAATATTTAACATCTCACCTGACAAGACGATGTACGGTGGACGCCTACGCAGAAATGCACGGCACCTTAAGAAGAAGAAGACAAATTATTATGTTTAAGTTACCGTTGGAATTGGTAACATGGCGACGTATGACCCTACATAGGTAAAATGGTCCTGAGACGAAGTGTCTTCGAGGACCTGTTGATAAGAACCAGTTGTTGGATTAGGTTTTTCAGAGATCCCATAACTCATCACAGACATGCAAGCAACAGCCAGGTAAATAAATAAAAGTCGACACCAAAAGGGGGGGCTTCGGCTGTATCTAATAAAAGCCCCAAATTCGCACTTAAAAATAAAAATTAATAGAATTTACTACTATTGCTCAGTGGATAAATTGGAAGCCCTGCTTTCAACGCCATGGCTCCTATTTCTATACAGTTGGATTGAAATAAATCTATGCAGGCTACCAATAAACCAAAGCCTCTAACAATCGCTGCCCTGCTAGAGACCAAAGAAAAATTCATGCAGACTAAAGAAACGATATAATAATGGTTGTTTCAAAAACGTCTCTCACCTAGTCATGCAATATCCAAAAGAAAATCATGTTCAAATTGCATATAAATGAAATCTTGTGGAATATTCATTTCTCAATCAATGTACTGTAAATACAGCTTTTAAACAAAAGCACATTTTTCTCCAGTCATCAGGAATGAAAATACCACTGAACCTGAATTTTACTAAGAATATCAAATTTGTGACTCCAAAATAGATGCAAAAAGATTTACCACTTTTACCTCCCGGCTTACCCTTAAAACGCCCCCCGTAGGGGAGAAAACGGAAAAAATCGATTTATCAAAAATCTGAACGCAGTAGAAAAAATGTTTCAAATAAAAAATGTAGCTGAGAAAATTTTGAGCAAAAAGTTTTATTGATACTTTTTGGTAAAATGAACTGTTCTCTCAGAAACGACGCTTAAAGGTCGATTCAGACACTTCAGTCACGTCTCGTCACAGTCCTGGCGCCGAACCGAACAATCCGTCATACAAAATATTCTTTAATAGAAATATGGCGCCGGCATTCACATTCATCAGGCCACGAACAGTTTCCCAGCTGTCAGATAGTTAATAGTTCTGTGACCAAACAGGACCGGTTCGGCGCCGAGACTGTGACAGGACTGATGTGTCTGAATCGACCTTTAAGCGACCGGTGATTTTGAGTGTCAGTTACGCGCGCGAAATAAATTTTAGATAAAATTGTATCAACTCGACAGTAAAAATTCGACATCTTTTGATTACAGTGTCCTATCGACAAAAAACAAAATGCGTTGTAAAGGTGAAGAAGACAGCTTACGTGTGTTTTTTTTTGTATTTAGCCGCAAATAAAGTCGTGTTGTGATTGTTTCTACTTTAAGAGTTTAAATTCTGCGTTTTTAGTCATATTTTCAATGCCTCATACTGGTTGCCAAAACTAAAAATTTAAATTTCATATTATGTTTTGAAGATTAGACTCTTACAATAGAAATTCCATTACAACTGGTAAATGAAAGTGATAAATTTTATTATCTTATCATAAAAAATAGCAAAAATCGCACAACATTTATTTATTTAACACCTTTATGAAAAACCGTAAAACCTTGATGTACGTAACAAAAGAGGAGCAGACATCGCAAGTGACCATCATCTTGTAATCGGTACCATTAAAATCAAAATGGCAAAAAACAAAATCACACGAAACACCAAACGACCAACATACAATCTAGACAAATTAAAAACGGCTACAGGAAGACACATATTTAGGGAGGAACTTCAACTCAAAAGAAGAGAACGTGAAGTAAATAGCTGGGAAGATCTGGCAAATGTTTTGACAGAAATAGCTGAAGATAAACTGGGTAAAAAAGAGAAACATAGAAAAGAATGGATATCAGATGAAACTTGGAATCTTATCGAAGAAAGAAAACAGCAAAAAAAAGATATTCTGCAAGCAAGAACTGTAGAAGAAAGAGCGAACCGACAACAAGAATATGAAACAATAAATAAAGCAGTTAAAAGAAATGCAAGAAGAGACAAAAGAAGATGGACTGAAGAACTGGCAAAACAAGCCGAAATAGCTGCACAACACAATAGAACTAGAGAGCTATACCAAATTACTAGACGTCTAACAAAAAGTGGGCCCAACTGTTCAAACGTCGTAAGATCCAAGGCAGGAGAACTACTTACTACAACAAATGACCAAATAGAGAGATGGAAAGAGCATTTTCAGGAGATGCTAGGCACGCCCAGGGATAACGCAGATGAAATTGTCGAAAATCCACAGAATATAGACTTGCGTATATCTTGCGACGCCCCTTCCAAAACAGAGATAATAACAGCTATCAAATCTCTGAAAAATAACAAGTCTCCGGGAATCGATAACATTGCTGCCGAAATGCTTAAAACTGATCCGCATCTAACTGCTGAACTTTTGCTCCCCATAATCCGAGAGGTGTGGGAAACAAACCGCATTCCAGCGGGCTGGAAAAAAGGCATCATTACTAAGCTTCCAAAAAAGGGCAACCTCACACTATGCAAAAATTGGAGAGGAATAACCTTGCTTACCGCCATAAATAAAATCTTCACGACCATCATACTTAAAAGATTAACAAACAAGGTTGAATTTCGAGCTAATCAAGTAGGCTTTAGACCAGAATCCTCCTGCATAGACCACATTAATACTGTGAGGCTAATAATGGAACAATCGGTTGAATGGAACACACCCCTATACATGGTTTTTGTTGATTTCGAGCGTGCTATTGACAGCTTATCTCATGATGCAATATGGAAAATTTTAGAGCTAAGAAACATCCCGCATAAAATAATTTCCATTATAAAGTTACTGTACACTGAAGCGAAATGCAGCGTGACACACAATGGGATCAACAGTGACGAATTTGACGTACTTACTGGAGTCAGACAGGGATGCGTGCTTTCTCCGTTTCTTTTTAACATAGCTCTAGACTATGTTCTCTCCAAACTAGACTCTGACACAAGAGGGATACAATGGACGTTAACCACACGCCTAAGCGATCTAGAATACGCCGACGATATCTGCCTGTTAGGACAAAGGTTCCAAGATGTGGCTGACCAATTGGAAACACTTTCCACTGAAGCCAATAAAATAGGTTTGAAAATCAATATTGGTAAAACCAAATCCATGAGAATAAATGCAAGAAACAACACGCTATTCACCATTAATAACATGCAGATTGAAAATGTGGAAAACTTTACGTATCTTGGAAGTGTCATAACAGAAAGCGGAGGTACAGAAGACGATATTCGTATGAGGATACGAAAAGCGCAACAAGCTTTCAGCATGCTCAACCCTGTTTGGAGGTCTGGAGAATACACTACGAGGACAAAGATCCGAATATTCCAGTCAAATGTCATGTCTGTACTACTTTACGGATGTGAAACCTGGAAAGCGACAAAAACCCTTACAGACAAACTGCAGGTCTTTGTTAATAAATGTCTACGAAGAATTGTTCGTATTTTCTGGCCTAAAATCATCAGAAACGAAGACTTACTACACCTGACCAAACAAAAGAGGGTAGTAAATGAAATAAAGTCCAGAAAGTGGGGTTGGATCGGTCACACACTCCGAAAAAATAACTCCAGTATTGCAAAGACTGCCCTAGAGTGGAATCCCCAAGGAAAACGAAAAAAAGGTCGCCCAGTACAAACTTGGAGAAGATCCATCATGGACGAGATAAGAAAACAAGGAAAGTCTTGGAATGAGGTGAAGGCCTTAGCGCAAAATAGAACCCGATGGCGCGTTTTCACTGAAGCTCTATGCTCCACTTAGGAGTTCAAGAACCTTATATATATTATGAAAAACCGACTTTATTTGCAGCAAAATACAAAAATTGCGAACAAAAGCTACACTCTTCACCTTTAAAACGTATTTTGATTTTTATCGATAGGACACGCTGATCAAAATATATCGATTTTTTACCATCGAGATTCTTCAAAATATATTTTGATTTTTTACCATCAACTTGATACAAATTTTATTTAAAACTTATTTCGTGCGCAACTGACATTCAAAATCACCGGTGTTTTAAGCATTGTTTCTGAGAGAAAGGCTCATTCTACACAAAAACGTAAACGTTTTTGCATTTTTTGGGTTGGGAAAATTGACATTTTCAACAAAATTTAGCTTGTTCATATGATTTTTAGATTTGGTCAAATCTCTTGATGACTAGAGTATTAATGTTAACACTAAAACAAATCCACAAATAAATTGATTTCTTGGTTATATATAAGATACATATAAAGAACTGACTATTGATATAAAAGCAAAAAGAACAATTCAAAAGATGCCTCAACAATGAGACAGGTAAACTATACAACTAATACAATAGAGATATGTGCATTATTTACCTTATGTTTGTACTTGGTTAAAGCCCCCCTGGCTTTGCTGATTAAAATATTTTGATCTGTTTCTAACTTAAATGAGACTACAAATGCATTGGGAAGCCAGTCGCTTACAATTGGTGTTAGTAGTTTTGGTACTAATTGCAGGTGTATACTTGGAGCAGCATCCGATGAAATTTTATGTGTACTCTGAAAATATTTAAGACAATATGTTACAATCTAAATAAATATTAAATAGTCTAATTTGCTATAAAACCAATAAAATATTAGATAGATAGTTTATTGGTAAAACATGAATACAAAAGTATTTTTACAAGTCAAAGAAAAAAATATATGTCAATATAGTTAATATACACATAAATATAAATATAAAACAAAAAACATTCTTCTTCTTAGGGTGCCTGTCCGTTCCAAACGTTGGTGATCATTCTGGCTATGATGATTTTGTTGGTTGCTATACGAAATAGCTTTTACATAAAACATACAGTGTTTTAACTTATACTGTTGACAATTAGAACAAATTAAAATTAGATGTAAAAAACTCCTCATATGTAAAAAAGGCATTCACTATAAGGTAACTCTTAATTTTTACCTTAAACTGATGAAAATTAAGAGCTTTTATTCTAGCTGGCAGTAAGTTGTAGAATTTTATGGCTAAATACCTTGAACGAGTTCTGGATCTCTTAAGTCGGCCAAATTCTAGTATAAAATTATTGTTAAATCTGGTGGGATAATTGTGAAAATCTACATGCACATTGTATTGGCTAAGATTTTGTTTAATGTACAACAGACACTACATAATGTATACACAAAGTAAAGTTAAAATTTTAGAAGCTCTAAAGAAGTTTCTACAGTCTGCTCTATAACAGAGCCTAGAGATAATACAAACACACTTTCTTTGTTGTGTAAACACTTTATCAATATGACAAGAGTGGCCCCAGGAGAGAATAACATATGTCAGATGATAATGGAAATTACTATGATAAACTGTTAAAATAGTTTCCCTGAAAGTTACCTGTACAAGGTTCCTGAAGAGGAAAAGTTGTTGGGAAAGCTTTTTCAATAGATTAACTACATGTTGTTCTCAGGTTAATGCTGCATCCAAATGTATCTTTAGAAACTTCGCTCTGGTTACACATTGATGTAGAGCAACGTTTTTAACACAAGTGTTATTTCTTTAAGTAAAATTAACACTTTGTGATTTAGAGCTATTCAAAGAGAGACGGTTAGTTAAAAACCAATTAAATAAGTTTTTTTAAGATGTTTGGTAATCAAGGGTGTCGAATTCAGAAGAGTGATAGCTTACAAAGAAAGTAGTGTCATCAGCAAATAAAACAGTGTTATCTATTTTATTTTGAGAGTACACTAGATCATTAATATAGATAAGAAATAATACTGGACAAAAAACCGAGCCTTGAGGGACACCAAACTACAGAGATTGTTTTTGAGAATCACACTGATTGAAGTGAACATATTGATTACGATTTGATAGATATGAATTTGATAGATCAGAATATTATGTGTGACACAATCGAAAGCCTTAGTAAGATCTAAAAATAATGCAAGAGTATCAAGATATTTTTCAAACTCTTCCCAAATATTGCTAGTAAAATGATAAATAGCTAAAGTTGTTGTTTTATTTTTTCGGAAATTTCGTTTTATTTTGTTTTATTCTTATACAGAGTTACTACCTTTGAAGTTTTGAAAACTTGAGGATAAGTATTACAAGATATTGATTGGTTCATTAAAGTTGTTAGAGATTAAACAATTATATTTTTAATTGTTTTAATAATTTTTGTTTTCAATCCATCAGGATCTTTGCTGTTGCTATTTTTTATTTCTGAAATGTTAAAACACACTCTCTTAAAACTATCTGGCTTGAGTGTAGAATTATCAGTGAAAACATTTCTATGTTTGTTACCATTAATAAGTTTCCACATAGCTCGTTGAGAGTTGCCAGAATTTTTTATAAACCTATTATTTGCATAAATTTTTGCAAGCCTGATGGCTTCCCTGTACTCTTTTCTAAGTTTAATAATGGTACTTCTAGGTGCAGCAATGAGATCGTTTCTATTTATTGCTGTAATAAATTGAAGTCTCTCACGCATTTTTCTCAAAGGTTCATTGAACCAGTTTACAGGTTTATATTTAAATTAATATCCAAATTATCATTGTATACAAAATTAAAGTTGCAATTTAGCAAAATCTGGTTCAAATTGAAGAGTTCTTCATCTGTGATAGGTCTATAATAAATTTTGGTTGCACAATTTGTGGATGAGTAAGCTATCTGAAAGGAAATACCTCTGTGGTCAGATGTGTCAGTGAGATCCAAAGGTTTTGTGGTCCCATCAATATTTGCGAAAACATTATCAAGACATTTATTAACTTGAGTATTAAATTTAATTTTTTTTAATATTGTAAGATCTAAAAAAATTACGGAATTTTAAAGCTTTGATGTCTGTTTCATTAAAAAGAACAGTAAAGTCACCCGTAATTATAAAAGGTTTATGAACATTAATTTTTTAAGAGCTTTAGCCATAATGCTAAAGAATTTGTCTAAATCACTATCTGGAGTACAATAGACAGTAATAAGCTGCACATTCGATTTATTTAATAAAATAACTGTAATCTCACAATGCTGTTCAGAAGAGAGATTTTGAAGATACAAATGATTAAAACTTATGTTATTCCTAATATTTATACCTACACCTCCATGAGACTTGACCATCCTGCAAAATCCAGAAACCATACCATAGCCTTTAATATTGATAGTATGTAGCTCCTCAGGTAAAAGCCAGTGCTCATTAAGACACATTTAGACACATATTATAACCAAATTCAGCGTAAATACTGATTTAAATAGTCTAATGAAATTTGGCTTTAAATGAATGTTTATAAATTTTATTACATTACTAATAAATAAGTAATTCTCCTATGTATGTTTAAATGTATTTTAGACTATTTTGTTTTCATTAAAATATTGTTATAAAAAAAATCAGATAATTGAGTACATTGCAAGTTACATTAAGGAGTACTTTTTCATTTGTTTTGAATTTATTCTGAGCGAGTGACTAACTATATGAAAGAAGGAAAGCATATTCGCTCCGTGCGTGACTGATGCGACACCTACCGCCTTCATCTGACAATTTTGGAGTCCCAATTTTCAGGTTAAACATATGACATATGTTTGACATTGTTAAATACATGCGAAATTGACAATTATTAATAAATTAGTCTTTTAACTATATTTTTTCAGTTTATGTACAAAATAAATGTAGTATTAAAAACTGGGTTTCTCAAAATTCATCATAATATATCTTTTCAACTCCAAACGGAAAAGAAAGGGAAAAATCTAGTACTGGCAAATCAAGTTTTTCACGCAAAAGAGCATATAATTAAAAACAATAATAGTAAAAATTATGATATAAAAGCTAAAGTCATCTGCAGTTAGCTTGAAGCCTTATGAAATATCATTCAAGGTAAATTATTTAAATTTTTCCTATTTCAATTGCATAAAAATGAAATTATGTGATATTTACTTTTTCATATTAATAGCACGAATTCATCTTTTTCTTTTCTCTAATTTATAAGTAATCTTTGGGGACCTATAAAAACTACACTCACTGTTTTTGCTATTATTAGCACAATTAAATATGTAACATGTATTTGCACACATTTTTGATAAAATTTATGCGTAAAAATATTTTGTCAAATATTCCAATTTTGTCATATTTCGCCGCTACACACGCTGGCATCGTTTCAATGTACCCCTACCATGGTCACGCACGGAGCGAATACAAAGGCCTGCTTTAATTACAATATTTTGGTTACAAATATATACTTACCATCTGGTTAGGAGGAATAAAAAAGTCTGAAACTGCAGCAGCTAAATACAACATAGCATTTGATCCAAAAACTGTTAGACTTTCACAAGCTGCCCTCAACAACCAAAAATAGTCTGACAAAGTTGTAAAATTCACACATAATAATCTACCTTCTTTGTGGGCAGTTTTGTAACTAACTAAAATTGGAGCTAATTCCTTTATGTACTCAGGTTTAACTGAAAAAAGGAGTTTTTTTACAACACAAAATTGTCATAAATTGTATATTAAAAAGAATATGTTGAGCACTATTTTATTGCGACCTTCTCCTTTAACAAGAAGTATATGATAATGTGAATGTATTTATGAAGTCTTGACAACCAAGGATTGCCTTTAAAAGTGGGGAATAGCTAATATAGACAACAAAGAGTAAAATTAAGTCAGCACAATACTAACCATTTAAGATATATTTTAAACAATATAAAATATAAACAAATACAAAAAATGAAATACCTGTTATTGAGGTGCCTTGTTCATTTTTATCAATGTCTAACATTTCCAAAAATTTCTGTCCACCGAAATGTCTTGTAAATGGTTCTACTGATTTAAATCTATGTAAAAATATAACTGCATAACCACATTTCAAAAAATACTCAGTAGAAGCAGCTCCTCGAACACCACCACTAAAGTTGTCCACAAATCTGACTGTATTATGTTCCAGTGGGACTGTTGTGCCTCCAGACTAAAAATAATTTTTTTAATATTAATGCTCCCTTACAAATCACTCAGAAGAAATTTTAGTAGACAACTAGAGTTAGCCTCCCTCTTAGCTACTTTGGCATCAAAAGCCTGGTGGATAATGAGTTAATAGATTATCTTGGCAAAATACATAGTCCTGTGAAAAAAAAAACATTTTTTAATAAGATAACTTTTAATGCACTAAGTGCCTTACACAACAGCTAGATGTATCTAACTTTATGTATTCTGTCAAGGGTTAAAGTACACTTTCCTAAAATGCGATAATTTAAAGATTTAAAAGATATACAGAATATCCCGCTCTAAATATGTTTAACCATATAAAAGCAAAAATGGTAAAACAATTAATGGAATAATAGTTTGCTGATATGATCTCTTAGAAATTAGATAGTTCATAGGAATAGGAATTAACTATAGTCAAATGGAAATTACAACTTAAAATATTCATTTAAATTACATACCGTTACTAAAACTATTCTTTGGTTATTATGATGGTGTTTTTCACAAAACAACTTTATTTGTTTTTGACTATCCTCATAATTAGTAGGTGGTGAATTAGTAGCATAAAATTCATCCCAATGTTGGCGAGACATTCTAGATATTATTTTATTATTACAGTTAGTTGCGTTACGTTTTATCTATTTGGTTTTATGTTTGTGTGAAATAAATCTAATCTCTAGGATAAGAAATTAAAAAATGTCAAAAAAGTGTGGTTAGAATGTGAGTGTCAATCAACAAGTTTTGACGTATCAAAAGAAATCGATTTACTGAGATCGAATTATTTAGGATCGAAAGACTAAATGAAAAAATGTAAATTCCCCTTTTTATTAAACAATAATTCCTAAAAATTCTATTTTTTAATCATTTGCAAATCAAATGTTTTCATTTATCCGTAACAGATTTAGCGCCAATGAAATAATTCGGAAATTAAAAAAAAAAGTCGAACAGTAGGCGGTATTGTCACGTATTGTAGAGTAGCCCGAATTTTCATACTGTTTCCTGTATTTTTAATATGAATTATTTATTTATTATATTTTTTAGGGATTTTAATAAAATTGAAAAAATTTATATGTTGTATAACGGACTCTCTCGTCGCGTAAATGGATCCTTCCAACTGTTTACTGGGAGAACATTCTCCCTCCTGATACTGACAAAGAATGTAGAGCGTAGAATCTTTTAAGTAATTTAACTGTTTGTCATTGTTTTAGTGTAGTGTTTTGTACAATTTTATGTTATTACTCATGTTTTTCACATTCTACGCTTGCTGGATAGCTCATATTTGACGAAATGCCACTGAAGATGCTATTTTAAGCGAAAGTACTTGGGCAAGATTTAATTAAACTTGTGTTCGATAATAGCCTTATTTTTCAAAGTTCATTTACTCGAGCATTCAACCTTATATCAATTAAATGTATATACGACGCAATCGATTTTAGTTCCTATTTGCTGTGAGATTATCTAATCTGTATTTTGTTTTGTTTTTAACTGATAATATTTGATTAATTTGTTATAATTGTGTTTTTATATCTAGTAAAAAACAGAGACTTCTTTGTATATACGTAGGTATATTAATAAAACGTTTTTCTCTACACCAAAATAATTCATTCTTAATCTTTATTTTCTTTCTTAGATATGGCGTATTGAAAATAATAAAACAACGAAGTAAATAGTTTTAAGAGTGTATTTATTTTGGAAATTAGGTTATAGACATGTTGAATAATACACAATAGCTAATAATAAAGAAGATACATTTTAGAAAGTGAATGAATTTTAAACAAGATATTTAAAATTTATTGCTTTTGTAAATAGTCATCAAACATAAATAGGGCTAATGAACTGTCTGGTCCATCAAGGAGGTCAGTCAAATCAGTGCTGTACCCTGCAAGTTTTCTGATAATTTCTCTTTGTTGGTGTAAAACTTCTTTCTCTAGATAATCGGTAACTTCGGGATCGTAGAATTGCTTGTTGCTTCTAGCAGCTCCAAGATGGATAGAGTGGGCTTCATGGACGTACTTCTTTTCCAAGTCCAAAGCTTTAGAAACTGCGGTTAATTCATTCAAGTCAAAGCTTCTAGGCTGGGCTTCTTCTTCTTTAACGCCTTCAGAAATGGCATTAAAGTCGACTTCACCTCCACGAGCAGTAAGGTATTTGATGAATTCAATACCATCGTTCCATTTTTTATCAGACAAACCACGGAAAAGTTTTTCAAATCCTGCGCGGTTTCTTTGGTAGTTGTCAAAGTTGGTAGCCAGAAGCAGGTATTCAAATGATCTGATGAAGTTGTGGTTTACGAATTTTTGAAGATCCGATTGAGCTGACTCTATAGCTCCGAATTTTGCATTACAATTCAACTTGTCAACACCTAGAAAAAACAGAGATAATTAATATTAAAAATTTAAATTGTTGATTTAAATTTTCACTTATACCCAGAACACATCATTAGATAATGAAACGCTGTTAAATCTAACTATTTGGTATAAAAGTGCATGGACTTTCAATTAACAATATCAGAAATGCAGACGATACCACCATTTTGGTAGAAAATCGAAACAATTTACAAAGATTATTAACCATACCATAATAGTAAAAATTGATAATGAATATGGCCCAACACTGAATTCAAAGAAAACGATATAATCGAGTTTAGTGAACTATCTTTGAATAAAAACTGCTGCAATACAATAGGAGAATTCGACATTTGGATTTATAGGATAGTGAAGTATGTTAAGTAGATAAAATATCAAATTTAGAAGAACTTAAAATAACTGAGAAAAAATGGAGTTACTATTAACCATTAAAAATCGTAAAGTTCAATATCTTGAGGAAGAGGACAAATATCAACTTCTACAAAATATCATTCAAGGAACGATTCTGGAAAAAAGAAGTATAGGGAGAAGAAACTTAAGTTGCTGCAGCAACCTACTATTTCCATGCAGCTGTACCTAAAATTGAGATAATTATGACCATTTACTTAAAGATCAAGACAAACAAACATATAGAAACTATATATTTTCATATAAAAACCAGAAGGACGTGGAAAAAAAATTAACGTCATGCAAAAGAAAATTATGCGAATATAAATAAGATAATGTCATTTTTGCAAACAGTGTGGAAGATCTGCAGATGCTTGTCTACAGAGCCAACAACTCATATCACAAATCATCAGCTTCTGTTACTTTGATGCATACAAACATACGATGGTAAACATTAAAACTGGAAACAAATTAACTAGAGAAGTTTCTATTAGTAGGGTCTAAAGCAAGGCTGTTGCATAGTACCTATATTCTTCAAAATATATCTGAATGAGGAGCTCTCAGTGTGGAGAAGAAAGCGCTGCAATATAGGCATCCCAATCGAAGACGAGAGATTGTACACCATACACTTCGCTGACGGCTAAGATATTCTAGCTGAAGACGCAAGTGATATAGACCATACACTTAGGGGAGTACATTAAATGGGGCCTCGCATTTATCTTTGTTTAGGAAACAAATTAAAAATTAAGGTCATGGAAATGAACTCTTGGAGACGATTTTGCCGGATCAGTAGACTTGATAGAGTGAGGAACAAAGATATTGGGAGAGAAATGGAAATTTATCTAAAGACAATAGTCACAATTGAAGCCAAAATTGGTATGGACACCTGCAGAGAATGCACGATAATAGATGGCCAAAAAATATAGAAAAATGGACTCCGCCCATTAGAAGAGAACGAGGTAGATCAAGAGGGACCTGAGGAGAAGATGTCGAAGATGTAATGACCACCAGAAATTTAAAAACTGAAGATTGCTTTCTACAAACACTGGATGTGTGAAAATTAGGATGTGTGAAACGACATAAGACCCGCATATTATAATAGATATATGACGACAAATAGTTAAATAAATTAAAATAAGTATTCGTTTGTATTTGATGCTGTGAAATGAAGAATGATAGCTGGAGGGCTCAGAATACAAGTGGACAAAGCCCACTTTTTGGTAAATATTTATGAGCATTTACGAGTAAATAACACTATGACAGCACCAACTAGGTAACATTTCAGTGTATTAATTAAAAAAGTCCTAGTTCTGATAATATCCGCAAGGCAGCAGCAAGTTCTGGAGTTATGTGACAGATTGATATTTTCTTTCAGACTACTTCTGAACCAAGTTCAGGTAGTGTTTGTGTACTGTGTGCAGTTATGTATTGACATGCTTTAAAACCTTTAGTTAGAGTTAGACGAATTTGACACAGGTAAATATAATGTTGTTATATTTTAGTTTTGGATTGATAGGGATTGAAAGGAGAAGTTTTGAACTAGACCTAAAGCCTAAAAATATTATTTTGATGCTTGCTGACAACGGACAATAAAATCAAATATTTAAAATAAATTAATAAAAAAAAAGAAAATATTTTTTACAATTTAATTTGTTTTAAGGTGATAACATTTAAGGAGTTCCAAATGACATGCCTCGGATACCTCTAACATTAACATCATTCCTCCCCCTGCCCCTTCAGATGAGGAAAATGAAGAGATTTCTCGAGGAAGAAAGCGCCCGAGGAACTTTGAAAACTGAAAAGTTAAAAAGAGGAAGTTGAATCGTAACGGCGGTAAAGAGTACACAGCTCGTAGGAATAAGGTAACACAAGCGAAGATATTTCTCTCTGTGTGTGACTGTAAATGTCACAGAAAATGCCGTGAGAAGTTCCCTTTTGAAGCCACCTTGAAATCTTTTTTAATTAATTTCCGAAATTTGCAAAACAAAACTGTGTTTTGCAGTGTTTAGTTAAGGTCTTAACTGACAGTAGGAGTCGGACAAGAGACGGATCATGAGAAGCAATATAAAAAATGTACCAGTACCTTATTCTAGATGAAGATTTTTTTTGTTTTAACATAGAATCTGTTACATCTTGCCATGTAACAAATAAATTGGGAAAGATTATATAGATTTTTAAATAAAACAGAAGTTGCTGCTGTTATTGATACAAAGGAAAAAGCAGCGTCGCGTAAAATTGACGACTTAGATGTTGTTGACCATATAAAGTCATTTCTCTGCTATCAAACCCACTACACAAGAAAGGACAATGGGAACAAAAGATACTTGAGTCCAGATTTGAGTATTAAAAAAATGTATGATTTATACAAACCGAGATGTGAAAGTGAGAACAGAAATCCTGTGAAAGAAAAATATTACTACTAAGTCTTCAATTAAAAATTTAACTTGCACTTTAAACTTCTTTCAAAAGACACTTGCAGCAAGTGTAACAAGTTATTTAAAAAAATCCACGCTGAAACTGTTGAGAAAAAGACAGCCGACTTAATAAATTTATTAATGTTTGTATTTGGAGAACGATTTACGAGGAGAAAATTGAAACGTCAATAAACTTATTTGAACCTTCAATTGTGGCTTATTCCCAATAAAATAGTATCTACTATAAAATGCCACAAGAAAATAGCTTCAGAACAACATTCGGTGTTAGTCGTTGTTACCTTTTGGCGGGAAAATACATGAGAGATGTTTTTCAAATCTGGAAAGTCAAGATGCTGTTAAGATATATAGCCCTGTATTTTGGAACAAATTAATCCTATTTTAAAACACCTCTGCGAGAAATTAATTGCAGAGACTTACGACGGTGCTGCTGTAATGCGTGGGCAGTTGGGAAAAGTTAATGTTAAGATCCTAAACATTTAAAGAAATACATATTACTTATATACATCGTTACACGCATCAATTCAACAAATTATTGCAAAATGCGATGTCAAGCACTTTTATTGCCCCTATATTTTTGGTAACATAGGCGGCATGTCCGCATTTTTCTCTTATTCTACGAAACAAAAAATAAAAGCTTTAAAGCAAGTGATGAACAAACGAATTGAAAAACCATCATAAACACGATGGAACTTTTAGTCTAGAGTGATACCAACTTTATTTGAAAATTTAAACAACATCCTGGAATGTTTTAACAATATTGAGTCTGGAAATCTTTAAATATATATCACGGAAACCACAGGTTAAGTCGCCAACTGCATAACATTGAATCGAACACTGTCTTCTTCTTCTTCGTGCTACTAGGATTACTCCTGTTTGTCTGCCTATTATTCTGTTTCAGTCGTTGTTGACTGTACATTATCTTTCCACCTTTTTGGCGGCCTTTCAACGGGTCTTCTGCTATACGGTTTGTTGTTTTTACAGATGTTCGCTAATCTATCTGGTCCCATTCAGTTTACATGTTCGTTCCGGTTTTTTTTCTTGTTTTTATCCACTTGTTAATATTTTGAATTTTGCACTGTCCGCGTATACTTCTGTTGATTTGTCTGTCTCTTAATGATATATCCGCTATTGATCTTAGTACCTACTTTCATTTCGATATCGGCCACTGTGAAATTGAAATATGCTGTTGGCAGTTTAAAAAGAATCGTTGTTAACATTAGAAACAGCCTACCCTCTGCAACGGAAAATATGCAAGAATCGAGGGGACCAAAGAGCCGGGTACGACATGAGGAGAGTTTGAATTTATCTGCGAGAGAAATATATTTGTAAAAGTGCTTTTAAAGAGAAAATTATGAACATTATATAAAGAAACTACTTTTAGAAGACATTAATATCTTTTGCGATGCATTTATTTTCAATGGTTGAAAAATATGAACTCAAATTGGAATTGTCAATATTTTACTGTATTCACAAATAACACAACAAAACGAAAATGTAATCGGTTGCTTACGTACTTTAAATTTAATAGTGTCATATAGTTTGAATTCAACACTTTGTGAAATATGTAAAGTTTCGATTAATGGAATAACGATTCCAATTACAACTGCAGAAATTGAAAAATATTTCTTTACTTAGAGATAGTTTAAACATCAATATGTTTCTAAGGAATATAAAGTCGGAAAAAAGACTGACGGTGCGGTAGGTGATTTGTGGACGGTGCTTGCCATTGAAAAAACTTTATTCGAAGGATTCCGACAAAAACAGAAGGATTGAAGGAGTTTCAGTTTAAGAAGTACGTTTTTGGTAATTACTCATTTATTTTTACTTTTTGGATTCTCGAAACAGCGCCCCCTTGAATAAAATTATCATCAGACACCACTGGATACAATACAGCCTTAGATAAGGATTCTTTGTACAATACATCAGATCTTGTTCCTAACGGTTTGGAAAGAACGTTGTTGACCTTTATTTTCAGAAACTGTTTTCGTATGGGGTTTTAAGTAGAAAACTCACAAGTTGTAACTTGGAAACTCACAAGTTTGTAATAGACGAAGCACAAATTGGTTTTAAACCATTTACGATCTCGATAAATACGAGAAAACAAAAAAAAAGGATGAATAAATTTTGCAATTCGGAAGCAAGTACGAATGTCTGCACACATATATGTATGTACTTTCATGATAAACAAATTAATAATTATTCGTATATTTTCTTATCGCATTCTTCTAGACTAAACACTTCAACAAATTCATTTCAACACACTCCAATTAAAGTTGAAAGAGATAAAGGGGAATTCCAATCCAACAAGACATTCCTTGGTACTTAGCATAAGCTGATGATAGAACGCTGATAGGAAATACTGAATGAGAAGTATAGCAAAGATTAAAAATATTTTTGAAATTATTTTAAGCTGATAGTTTTATATTAATCACTATATATATATATATATATATATATATATATATATATATATAAATATATATATATATATATATATATGAATAAACATTAATTTTAAATAAAAACTTTATAGTTAAGGTTTCGATTTCTGGTTGAGAAAGGGTTGAAAATCTAAACAATAAAAATTATGGTTCATTTTATTTACTACAGTAATTAATACTGATCCCAGATATATGATGACCAGAGACAGAGATCTCTGGAGACGGACAATACACGACATCACGTCGACCACTACACTCCCCCTGGGGGGTCAGGATTGAAGAGAGAGAGAATTAATACTGAAACAGTTGAGACGGGCCTTTATTGAAGACATTTAAACTTAACTTAAGTATTTATGTCACTGAATATTGCGCAGTTAGAGCGAAAAGGGACCTTATAAAGAGAATGTTTTTATTAAATGAATATTGTAAAATGTTTTTATTATAAAAGAAAAGTGACAACAAACATTGATCCAGTAAAAATTAATGTATTAGAGAAAATCTATGAAAATGTGGCCTATGTCGATGCCCATATAAGTGAGTATATTACATAATAGGGTTAGGGATATTTAACAGTCATAAAAAAGAAGAATCGTCGAATTCCTATAGGAAGTATGCCAGAAAGACAAAAAATCTAATATTGATAAGGCGCTCCCTGCTTAGGTAGAAAGAAAAATATAATGGATGAAGGTTCTACATGTTTTTATTGGCACATTATCACATCAACCGTGTCGACGATATTGAGATGCTAATAGTCCAGGAAAAACGGGAAGAAAAAAACAAGCCAGATACTCATAAACTCAAAAAGAACATGGACATTCATAATTACTGTATATCTGCGATGATCTAAAGCATGGAAAAGATATTATCTTGTACAATATAGTTCAAATTGAAAATATATAAAATTATAGTTTCAAACCGTTAACAAAAAGAAGAGCAAAATAGCAATGTCTTTAGAACGTGAATAATGGTAATATACTTACTCTTCGCCGCAGTTGGATTGCATGCGGTAACTGCGTCTTTATAACAGCTATCTTGGGAGGCCAAAGCGGCGACGCAAAAGATGGATAGTACGATGAAAGCCTTCATGATCCCTAAATTAAAGAAAATAATCGTAAATAAATCAAATAACTACAGTAAATATTGGTAAAACCGTTGATTGAATAACCCACGGTTTGGGTTATTCAATCAACGGTAAAACAACAAATAAAATGGTTATATAGTAAAGAAAAATAAAATAGTATACGAACCTGGCATCTCGTCAGCGTAATCATGAATAACAATCAATGATCAAGATTTTAATTTTATATTCTTCAGAAACGCATCAAAATATTATGAAACGACGTGCGCAACTGTGTCGGGCGCATTAAAGTACTTCACAAATTCACAGTATGAGTGCTTCTGTCTTCATTAGATTAAAGCTGAGATGACAGCGTTGCCATTTGGGTTATGCATTGAAATTAGTACATCTAATGTAACAATACAACCACTACAAAAACATTCATCGCTATTTTCCTATGAGAAAAATATTGAGATGAAAATATGATATAGTATATTAGTTTTATTCCTTAATCACCTCTATTATTATACCGATTCTTCTTCTTAACGTGCCCTATCAAGTCCCCTTGACGTTGGCGATTAACATGGCGAAACTGTCTCTGTCTCGAGCTATTCTAAAGAGTTGCTCAGCTTTCTTTATTCCTGCCGATTACTCCATGTAAATACGATATTGTATTACTCATGTCCAAGTTGGACAATATATATTTGCCGTGTAGGTAATGTACGTATTTTTTATGTGAAAGAAGATAAGTAAATTTGATCAGAAAAAACATCTAAAAGCAGACTCTGGCAGGGCAGGAATGTGTACTATATTGTAGATCGATCTTTTCAAAGCTTCTCTTTGTATTTATTTTGTTCCTTTTTGTTTACTTATCAGCACTTAACGTAATTTAGTAATGCGCATTTTGCTATAATCTGGAATGCCTATTGTATCTTTGAAATCTTGTAAAGTGGGATATCCAACTAAAAATAGTAATTTCTTAGTCCTTTTAGTTTTTCCTTAATTTTATATTTAAAATTGATTATTAGTTGATAAACTCTTGATGATTAGTTTTAAAACGTATCTGATTAAAATCATGGGACACAACTGTTAACTGTTTTTAAGTTAAAATGCCATGGATTTTATTAAATGCCAAGTTTTTACTACATGCCTCTCATGTGGTAAATCGCTTTCCACAACGAATATTCTTTTAAAAACTCTATAAAATGTATGATATGGCAACAGCGCAATGATTTTAAAATGTAGGTCTTGCAAATTTTTTATCTTTCCGAGGATCATAGTAAACAAATAATATGATATCATATGTCGGTGGTGCGGTGTGCATAATATTGTTTTTATTTATATCGGTGTTTTGCATTGTTTTATCATAGTCATCCTTCTGCGCCAGTGAGTGTAAAGGCAGACTATAGCGAACAAAATCTTCTTATTTTTCGTTATATTTCTATTATATCAAGTTTTGAAAACTTAAACAACATGAAGTCCTTTGGTTTATTTGTATTTTTGGCTTGCATCGCAGGTTTATATGCTATTCAACTCAAATGTAAGTATTCAACTTTGATATCTATACCTATATTTATTAAGTATTTATTAGAGCATTTTTTTCTTATTTTACAAATTCTATTTGAAAATATCTTAATTGACCAGATTTGGTTTATTTAAATTTGAATTATGTAGGAATTACAACCGCAAAATTATGGCGGCATCTTTGAAAATATCAATTACGTTCATCATCATCAGTAGTTGGACAACCCTTTCTGGGTCCTGGCTTGTTCTAGGATTTTCCGCCATTCTGTTCTATTCCTTGCTTTGTTTTTCCAATTGGTAATCTTAGGTGTTTTCAGATCTTGTTCCACTTGTTCCATGTATCTAAGTTTGGGTCTTCTTTTTGTACTTCTCTCTACTGGTGTTTGCTTCATTATATGTTTTGGTGTTTCAGTCTCCAACATCCGTTCAACATGGCCTAACCAGCGCAGAAATCCGATCTTTATGGATGTTATGATCTCGGGTTCATTGTATGCTGTATATAGTTCAAAGTTATATCTTCTGCGCCAAATTTTAAATTTGTCATTAAAAGAATGATTATGATCTAGAAGGTGAAGTGCGTATGTCGAATCTGTTTTTCTATTCTTGAAAGCCCTTTTATGTTCTGCCTGGATGGGATGACGAATTGTGTATAGTCGTGTCAGTATGGGTGACCCATACCAACACAACATAAACTGGCAGCTTATCATAGTATGTTACATAGATTAACAGAAATTCTGATGTCAAAATACAACTTTGAGACAGAATTAAATATAATTAAGCAGATAGCAGTAAACAACGGATACAACGAACAAACAATTAATAAAATGTTAAATCAAAAACTACACACGAAAGCCCTGAAATTAGTATCCACCAGAGAAAAAACCCAGTACCTTCTGCTCGATTACATATACAGGCAAAATATCAACAAAAATTGCCAAACACATAAAAAAGAAAGGAATAACACCAGCTTTCCGAACAAATAACAACCTAGGCAAATATATTAAAAATAACAAGAGCCAAAATAAAAAACACTTAAATAGTGGGGTGTACAAACTTCAATGTGGCGACTGCCCAAAAACTTACATCGGTCAAACTGGTAGAAACTTTTATAAACGAATAGCAGAACATAAAAGGGCTTTCAAAAATAGAAAAACAGATTCGATATACGCACTTCACCTTCTAGATCATAATCATTCTTTTAATGACAAATTTAAAATTCTTCACATTCAAAATAAAGGCATTAAGCTATCTTTGTTAGAATCTATGGAAATCAACAAATTAAAAAACACAGATATAATTCTAAATGACCAACTTGAGACAAACAGTTCTCCCCTCCTCAACCTATTTCATTAGAAACTATAAATTTGTAAACCTAAGCCAAAATAGATCACTTGAGAAAGGCAATGAGCCGAAACAGCTGTAGTGATAATATTTAAAATAAATTTTGTGGAAGTTTGAAAACAAAGTTTTCAGTGTTTTATTGTTACAGATTGATGAATACTTAGCTGGGGTCGCAAAAATTCCCTTTATTTGTTTTTCTATAAGGTAAACGTAGAATGTTTGGAATTTTTTATGGTTCTATCTTCATTGACGGTTGTTATACCTTGTGCAGGTTAAATAGTGAATGTGAGTCTTTTCTAGCGTTTCTGTTACTAGTGTATGGAATAGGCACCTATGTTTGTAAAGTCACTTCATAGTCTATAAAAGTTGCTTGCGGCCTATAATCTCGCACCCGAAATCGTGCAAAACATGGTCGACTTTTTCAGGTTCTTTACCACATAGTCTGCAGCTCCATGAAACAGTCTCATTATCTGTAGATTTACCTTGACTAGTACATCTCAATAAGGAAATCTGTTTGATGATTCTCGACATTACCTAGTATGAGTAGTATAACTATATATTTTGATCCATGTCGCGGCTGTGTTTTTCTTTCATATGAACTCAATGCATTTTCTATTTGGTATAGAAATAAATAAAAGTATAGTGTTTGTGTAGTTCCTGGATGGCCCAATATTCTATGTGCACTGTACACTCTTCTTCTAAACTCTTTTTAATACTTATCTTATGGAAGCTAATTATTTTACGTAAATTGTAAAACATAATCTTTTCTTAATCAGGATTGCTCACTTGACTATCCAGTTTTAAGTATTTTTAAAGAAATTTGTAGAAATTTAGAAGCGTAATTAGACCGGTGAATTTACAGTTGAACTTTTCCAGGGAAATTTTTTTCTTTTCACGACCTGTGCTGTTACCAAATTTTCAAGTGGCATGAAGGAGAAAATCAAAGACATTGTCTTCATCGTCAAAATTACATCGTAATTACAGCTATACCTATAAGGCACCAGTATTCCAATTTTTTTTTTTTAAATATAATCATTCTACTCTATCGATGCATAAAATGGCATAAGGGAGAAATTTTTTTAGAAAAGAAATTTTTTTTCCAAAAGAAAATTCAATTTTTACAAAAAGTTCTCGAGGAAATCATACAGTTTTCACATATTTTCCTTTCCTTTATTTCATCTTGCAGTACTCTCAAAGATATAAGGGATAAAATCGTAATCGAACTTCGTGAGAAATCCGACTGTCTAAAAAGAAGTGTAACAAGTTTATTGTTGACACCAACAGGTTATTAGCGACGTTACTTAATAAACAAAACTTTAAATCTGATACAAAATATTGATTGACCTTAGGTAATTTAATAAGTTTTTTACGTGACAGTTTTCTCCTAATAATAATCTGGTAGAGTATTTGGTATATCGTTTTTTTAACGTTCTCTATGGTATTTTGGACACTCAATGGACGACGGTAAGATGCGTAGCACATAGGTCGCACAGGGGGCGTTCCCTGATCGAAAGTAAATAAGTAATGTGTATGTAGGCGCGTTAGAACCGTTTGAATAAACCGTGTACTGGCACTAGTTTTAGTACCCATTACTTTCGTGTATCTGGTGTTAGCAATCTTAATTTAGATTACGATTTAGAAACCATTCGCGATGCCATTGAACAATAACTTTTTGTTTAAAAAACGTTTTGAGATATTTAGATACACCCTCACGCACCAATTCAGATTCAGCATTTGTTGCTGCATCACGAGCACTACTGTCTACTCCTTTATTGCCGATAATTCCTAAATGCGATACGATCCATATAAATTTAGGAGTTATGTGGTTCTCTTGGGCGATTTGAAGTTCAGTTTTTATTAGTTGCTCCAAGGGCTGTTTAGGATACAGATCCTGTATTGCAAGAAGAGAGCTGAGCAAGTCGGTGAGAGACAGAGGTTAAGGTAGTCTCGTTCAAGAATCTCGTTTAGTTTGTTTTTGATTAGTATGTTATTGCATTTTTTGGAGAACTCTATTAGAGAGGTATTGCAATTTGGGATGCTTATTAGCCATGGAGTCGGATGTTGGATGTTACAGTGAAATACATCTGGGATTGTTGTGTCAAAATTATTCAGAATTGATCTTACTCGTGTGTAATAACGTTTTTCAGTACGAGGTTTATTAAAGAGAAAGTCAAGATTATTTTTAGAAAAAGTATTTTCGAAGAGCGGATAATCCTTATTAGCAGCTACAGAAGAAGCGTCTGAAAGTGTTAAGAGTGCTCGCCTATACTGCAATGATGGTTCTCTAGTTTAGGTATATAAGTTTTCTATGGGTGAAGTGTGAAAAGCTCCGAGAACGATCCAAAGTGCGGCATTGTATCTAACGGTTTTAGGATACCCTTGGTTGCGGAGGACCTTTTGAATTTGATTTATCTTTTTTTTATCAGTACTACCTTAGAGTTTTTTTTTCAGTATTTTTACTTTACTTGTTCGAATTTAACATATGCCTTAGTTTTTTTAGGATATCTCACAGATTCCAAATGTTTCAGGTGCCCACCAAGAACTGGACATTCCTAATGAATGGATCGATATGAACAAAGATTGTGTGAACAAAATGAGAGGCCAAATTGAAGAGGAACTTAAAGCTTCAATGCAATACATGGCCATGGGTGCTCATTTCTCGAAAGACACCATAAACAGACCCGGTTTTGCTGAGTTGTTCTTCAATGCTGCTAGTGAAGAAAGAGATCATTCCATCAAATTGATTCATTATTTGCTCATGAGAGGAGAACTTACATCCGGCATCAGCGAGCTCATTAAAAGAAATGTAAGTATTACTAAATTAATAATGACGTTTTCAAGACAACCATTAATGATAAGTGTCAAGTCGATAAATGAGATTATAGACAATGTTCGATAAGCGAAATGGTTAGGTCGTTAACGGGGAAAACTAATTATATAAGTAGTTTGGGAAACACAAGAAGAGAAAGAGAGAAACAAAAGTTTAATATTTGATGCTTCTGTTGTGTAACAAGTGCTCTTCAAAGAACATTTTCAATATGGAATTTTGCTCAAATTTCATCTTTTTCTTTGGATATCTTTTCATTTTATCGATGGTTGGCAAGAACTTTTTTTAAACTTTTAAACTCCAAGATGATACGGATCACCTATAGAAATTAGTACCAAGGTATCGCGTCTCTTCAAATATGCCTTTTTCTGCTTTTTTATCGTTTTTTTTATTAAAATATTAAATATGTTGATATTTGTCCAGTTTCGAAAACTGATAGTGAAAAATGGTTGTTGAGTATTTTGCAATATGCTACTTATTAGATTTATCTCAGAACAAAATTTACTATTGAATACTGTCCTAAAAAATTTTGGCCGTCCAATCTTCCATCTAGTGAATTATGATGTTCCTTTTGTTTGTTTATCGTGAATCGGTATTCTATACCTATAAGTAGATCTACATAATATAGTTATGGTTCTACATATTCCATACTTTTTATTTCTAAGGCATTGATTAATCAAATACGCAAGCTGATTCTCAACTGGTTTCAAAAGTAGGTAGGGGAGACCGGAGCAAAAAGGACCACCTAACACTTTTTACTTGCGTCTGCTAAACTTAATAAGCAATGAAAACACCACCCTAACCATAGTTATAAATAAAAAATTTTATTATAACGCTTAACAAAAAATGCAAATACAGTAACACCTTTAAAAAACCTAGATACAACTTAAAGTGAAAATGACGTCCGATCCTATATACCCCAGTATGCGGGCAAATTGGACGATCAGTTAGTATTTGCAAAATTCGCATAGAAACATAATATCTTCATCTTCTTCCACACCAGCACATGCATCGTGTGTTCATTTATTGCATCAATGACACTTTATCCAGCCCTGTTCCTTCTTGCTCCGACTATAAGGTTAGGTTAAGTTTAGGTAGATACATAGATACATTCCGAATCTGAATATTCACTACTGTCATTGGTATCCTTCACTGGCCCTTTTTTCTGGCACAAACTTCAAAATTTAAACCTGCTTCTGCAATAGATTTATTTCGATAGAAAGCACCTGAGGGCCACGTCTAAACAGAATAATTACCTTGATTTTTAGAATTACCCTTAATCTCTTTTACCAATTGATAAGCCATTTTAGTTTTATTTTCGGTATTTTTAGTTCGATCTTTATCACAATGTTTTCGATATTGAGTGAGGAAAGAATTGTATTTGCGTTTTTCTGTACTGTAAATATCTTTATCATCATTTTTAAAGTACTTTTGTGATTTTTTTATTTGCTGTATGTATCTCTTTGAGTGGAAAACATTGTATAAAAATTTTGTAAACTGTATTCATAAAAGGATCCAAATGATTATTTACCTCCAATGTCTCAAAAACAGATACCCAGTCTACATTAATCAATATGAATTAAAAAAAATCTTTATTCTCCTTGCTAAATATTAGGTTTTTTTATTATATTTGACACAAATTTATTTAATTCAAATTTTACCTTTTGAGTAGTATCTTCAGATGTATAAGTATTGAATACAATAGAATCAAATATGTCCAGATTTGTAAAACTATTATCTATACAGGATTTTTTGTTACCTTGTATGCGTGTATAGTCTTTGGTGAAAGTTTTAATATCAAAGGAGCTCAAAAACATTTTCAATGTGTCTGGCACCTTCAAGCAGCATCATCATCATCAGTAGCTCGACAACCCTTTCTGGGTCCTGGCTTGTTCTAGGATTTTCCGCCAATGTGTTCTATTCCTTGCTTTGTTTTTCCAGTTGGTAATCTTAAGTGTTTTCAGATCTTGTTCCACTTGTTCCATGTATCTAAGTTTGGTCTTCCCTTTGACCTTCTCCCTACTAGTGTTTACCTCATTATATTTTTTGCCGTTTCAGTCTCTAACATCCGTTCAACATGGCTCATCGCAGATGTTATGGATGTTACGATCTAAAGCAGCTTATCTAAGTTAAAATTACCAGCCAGAAAAATGATAAAGTTCTTGTCAACTAAATCACAAAGTATTTGGTCTAACTTGTTTATTAAAACTTGTGAGTCTTCTGTTCGGTAGATGGATAGGATTGCAATCGTCTTCTTATCAATTCGTACCTCTGCAGCGGAACACTCAAACACCGATCTTTCTGATAAACCAGAAATATATCTTTCCTGGCTTTTGCAATAAACATGCAATAAAGACTGCAGTGTAGAGGTACTGTTAAAATAATTATGATATTTTCTCTAGCTTTTAAAACAGCTTCCAGTTGTCTGTGACTAATATGGCCATCCAAGACTAGCTGAACTGGATATTCCTGAGTAGGTTTTGCGAATTTGATAAAATGATCGAGATATATGAGAAAACGGTCTTTGTCCATCCAACCAGACTCATTTGAATATAGAAAAAATGGCGGAATATAATTTCCTGAAGCTGATACTGCGCATCCCACTGTTATATTGAAACCTCTTTCAGCACTTACAATTCGACCAACTTGTTTCTAACCTTTCTTAGCTAATATGTTACTAGGTGTCTCTACTGTACCAATTCAAAACCGTATAAATTATTAGCTGTAAATCTCAATTTGAATATCACTTCACTTAAAAGATCATAGAAATGGTTAACTCAATTTTGTTGGGACTAGTAGCTTCAGGCTTTCATACTGAAAGCTGGGGGTAATGTTTTAACAGTCCGGTCAGACAACAGAAAATATGTTTTACTAAAATCTTCTTATTTTCTTTACTAAAAACAGGCTTAAAACTATCCCGGGAGGGCCCCTGAATGAAACCGTTGCCAGCCCTTACTAATTAGCGTCGCGTCGTATCAATCAAGTTTTTGGTATCTTGAATTTTTCAGCTCTCAAACTCATGTTATTCTGAACAGCGATAATAGCCTCCATTTGGGCGAAGCCTTCTTTCTTGCAATTCCGAATCTGAAAAGATATAATACACTAAGCAATTTTGCTAAATGTATAAACGCGTATAGGACCAGCGGTCCAATATACCCCAACGTACGTGGTCCTCATTGCATTATTTCATGCAAAAAACATCAAGTATAGCCACTTAAAAAGTTAGGTTAAATTACCGATTAACGCGTAAAATGAAAATGAAAGTGAGAGATATGTACGCGCACGCGCGAAATTCAAATTAATCATTTCATATCCGTCGATCTTCCTATAAGCCCAGGTGATCCTATATACTCCGATCTCCCCTACTTATTCTTCCAATACACATAAGCTTTACTTTTTTAATATGTACTATTTAAACTTTCTTTTATTTTAGCTTGTGCCTTCCGTTACCACTTGGGAGAATGGCGTAAGCGCCTTAAAGCAAGCTCTTCAATTGGAAGCTTCAGTTACTAAGAAGATCAGAGATGTTACCAAAGTTTGTGAAGAAGCTGAATCCTTCAACGATTATCATGTAAGTTTTTTTTTATTGATTCTTTTTAAGATAACTAAAAAACGCATTTTCTTCACAAATTCGTAATTTCCTTCTCCATGCTGCTACAATTTATTAGGTTAGGTACCTATATTGGCGTGAAATTCCAATTTTAATAGGAGGTGAACAATGTTTTGTCTGTACGTAGTAGAATGGATGATAATATCTGATGGATACAGTTCGCCAAATATAGCTGAAAGTGTGAAAACGCGTGACGATCATGATGCGCATTCGTTCAAACGACGGACCTCGCACTGACGGTCCAGACCATTTGTATGTGCGTTCTCACTTCATTGTTAGCGCAGGCAATGGGAATTTCACACTTTCAGCAATATTTTGTGAACTGTACTTAAATTTTTCGATTATCGGTTTTAGATTTTCTGGTGAAATTATTGTACGAATAATACGAATTATAAATACGGTTTTATTATAGCAAAGCATAGTACATGTAGCTTATTAAAATATCTGAGATCTGTATATACTTACGGAATTTAAAATGCATTATATAATATTATAATAAACAAATATTGAGGCCATTATCTTGAAATTAATATCAGGAGAAAAGAAAAAGGCGTTTATCTGACAAATGGAGCAACTTGTTCAGTGGATAGTACATTTTTGTCATTTAGTGCAAGTTAATTATTTCAATTAGGACGTATTTGGTATTCATTATTAATATATTTGTTGTTTTAGCTTGTTGACTACCTGGCCAGCGACTTCTTAGGAGAACAATACCATGGACAAAGAGACCTCGCCGGAAAAGTATCCGATTTACAAAAAATGATGGCAGAACACGGAGCTCTTGGAGAATGGCTTTTCGACAAGAAACTTCAAAATAAAGCCATCGTATAAATGTTTTCTATATTTAAACCAGTTTGTCTTTTAACAACATAAAACTCCGTATTATATCATAAGTCTATCTTTTTGTAAATCTTAATGTTGCCATAATGTATTATTTAAAAAAGTTTCGGAATTATAACAAAAATAAAGACAAATTTTATTAAAACATCAATTATATTGACTTTAATTTTTTACACTTTTGTAAATATCAAGGTTAATAACATAAGATATGCTGACGACACCGTCCTTCTGGCAGGAACACTAGAAGAACTGCAACACCTTGCTGAACAACTAAATATATATTGCAACGATTATGGACTAAAAATCAATTTGAAGAAAACCAAGTTCATGGTATTTACAAAAGCACAAAACATCAAAGTTAAGCTAGTACTAGATAATACAGAAATTGAACAAATATCTTCGTACAAATACCTTGGAGCATGGGTCACAGAAGATACTGATCAGACAAAAGAAATAAGATGCCGTATTGAAATTGCGCGGTCAACTTTTAATAGAATGAGAAAACTTTTTTGTAATCGCGATATCAATATATCGCTCCGGATAAGAATGCTTCGATGTTATATTTTCTCTACCCTTTTGTATGGAGTTGAAGCTTGGACACTTAAAAAATCCAACACTAAAAACCTAGAAGCATTCGAATTGTGATGTTACCGACGTATTTTGAAAATATCATGGATGGATCGCAAAACAAACGAACAAGTTCTCGAACAACTAGGAAAACAATGCGAAGTTTTAAATTCCATAAAAATCAGGAAATTGGAATACTTGGGGCACATCATGAGAGGTGAAAAGTACGAACTACTAAGGAATATAATGCAGAGTAAAATCAAAGGTAGAAGAAGCGTAGGAAGACGTAAAATCTCGTGGCTACGCAATCTCCGTGAATGGTTTGGATGCAGTTCAATTGAACTATTCAGGCGATTAACCAATAAAATTATAATTGCCAGAATGATTTCCAATCTCCGATAGGAGTGGAACTTGAAGAAGAAGAAATATCAAGGTCTTCGCTCATAGAAAGATAATACAAAACTCACCATTGAAGTGTCTCTTATATGCAGAAGTCAAAATATCGAAAACATAACGAATATGCTACAAACGTTTTTACATCAACTAGAGAAATGATCGCATAGTTGTGGATTTCAATCTTCTACGAAAAAAAACACTTATATTATTTTCAAAGAAAAGCTACCCTAATCACCCTCCGCTCTCACTATACAACAATCCTCTAATTCGAAAAAATGTTGTAAAACTTTTGGGAATGACATTTGAACAACATCTAAATTGAAAAGAACGTATTAAAAAATTGGCAATCGAATGCCAAGCAAGACTTAATATCTTTAAATCATTGTCTAAAAAAGACTGTGAAGCAGATAGTCAAACTATGCTCTCCCTCTATAGAACACTAATCAGATCTATTAGATCGGCTACTGAGTGTTTACTTAAAATTTAAGATACAATCCACACTGCTGCACTCCGCATTGTCTTGCATTGTCTTTCATAACCACACTAATAGAAAGCCTGTATTGCGAAGCAGCTGAACCATCACTCTATTACCGAAGAAGGTACTTAAAGTTAACCTACGCAATTAAATCAAATGCAAATCCTAATAACACACCTTCAAATATGATCGCCTAGAACCACGTCTACATAAACCTTTCTACCACCGAATCAAAATGGATCTCTCATCTCTTAACCACCTTACCTCCTTGCTTTCCATAAATTTTGAACCTGCTGCACCATGGATATTGGGAGTACCTAAAATAATAACTACCTTAACTTCATTGGGTAAACATACTACTAACCATAATATAATACATCAAAATCTGCAAAACTTATTATCAAACTATACAAATTTATCTCAAATATATAGAGGCTTCAAGATCAACAGATGGCGCGGAAGCAGCAGTTATATCTTCTCATCATCAGTGGCATTACAGCTCGTTATGAGCCAAAGCCTTCTTCAGAACAATCTTCAATCATTAATTAAATTAATAGTAGGTATATAGGTATCTCATAGGTATAGGTATCACAAAGAGCGATGGAGAAACAAATGTTGGGTGTATCACTTAGAGATAGAAAACGTAACCAGTGGATCAGAACCAGAACAAAAGACAGTAGACGCGATAGAATAAGCAGCAAAACTAAAATGGAAATGGGCTGGACACAATGAACGTCTCCAAGACGGACGATGGAACAATGCCATCGGAAAGTGGCGTCCATACAATGCAAAGAGATCAAGAGGCAGACCACAGATGAGGTGGAAAGATGACATCAGGAAACAAGGAGGTCCCACATGGCAGAGAACAGCTCAAGATAGGGAAAGATGGAGAGAACTGGGGGAGATCTATATCCAACAATGGAAGGATAGAGAATAGGTTCAAAAAAAAAAAAAAAATTAATATATATATATATATATATATATATATATATATATATATATATATATATATATATATATATATATATATACATAGGTATCTCGTTGTCTGATCTAGTACAATACATAATACTTGGTTTTTGTGCTTTTATTTTTAATCCCATTCTCAGTGCAGACGCCATTAATGATCGAAATACTTCGATCAGAGATTCTGTAGACATAGAAATAATGTCTATATCATCTGCATATCCGACCACTTGTACAGATTTATTAAAGAGGGTGCCGTTCGTATTAATATGGCACTTTCGAATTATTTTTTCTAGTTCAAGGTTAAATAAGAGACACGACAGTCCATTTTTACAATTAAAGAGTATTGAAAAGTAGTTTTGGATTCTGACTACACTCTCTACGCCTGTGAGTGTAAGTTCCGTTAGTTGAACAAGATGAAGCGGCATTTGAAATTCCACCATAGCCTGTAGAAGATTTTGTCTGTTGACTGAGTCGTATGCGGCTTTGAAATCCACAAATGTGTGGTGGGTGTCGACTCCGAACTCAAGCGTTTTCTCAAGAATCTCCTGACTGAAGATTTGATCCGTTTGATCCTACAGCATTCTTAATGCATGCCCTTGTTATAATTATACCGTATACAGGGCACTCACATATTATATCGTCACCACAACATAAATACATAACTTTGATTGATCACTGAACTCATTACAATCCATAGGAAAAATATACCCAGAGAATCACATTTTAGGAAAAATCAAACAAAATCTGATATACAAAATTTTAATAAAGAGGTAATCTTCATTTGGATCCCATCACACATTGGAATCCGAGGTAATGAAGAAGCAGATAAGTGTGCATGTGAAACATAGACAAATATTTGAGTATTTTAGAAAACTCTCTTTTACTGATTATGGAATATTGTTTAACATCAGTGGAAGATTATGTCTTCCAACAGGACGTCGTCATATCTCAAAAAGAGAGTTTAAAATGGATTGAAAACCATGGCAAACCACTTCTGGAATGGGATTCTAACAGTCCCGACTTGCCTCGATAGATACTTTGGGGCGCGAAATGTAAAAAGCTTTGAAAAAACAGCCTGCCAGGTCCGTCAACGAATTAAAGGAAAATTGCAAGAAATATGGGATTCGTTTACATTAGAATTTTATCAGAACTTCGTAAATACTATGCCTCGAAGAATTGTGGACATAATTAAAAATAAAGGAGATGCAACTCAGTAGTAAACTTTCACATTTTTTTTTGTTAATATTACATATTCTCTACGTTTTTTTTTTAATTTATTATTACTACTTGTACTCTGTTTAATCAATAGTTTTCATTATGTTATAAAATATTTTCTATAATTATGAAATTCAAAAATATTGTTTATATGCATTAAAACTTCTAAAATTTACGGTGCACTTTTATTTTCGTTCTCTAAAATTTATACGAGTTCTCTATTTAAAAACTTATATGGGGAGGGGCTCGTAATGGTGTAAACTATTATACCAAGCTACTGTCAGATGAAATAAAATCTAAATCAACTATGATGACAAATGGACTTGGAATGACAACTAAAAACTAGGATTTATAAAGTATATCCTCTATATAAATGTTGACCGAAAGGTACAACTATCTGCCATCAATAAATCAGTGTTACACTACTAGACATCCTTACTGTAAATTGTAATAATTAAATAATACTACAAACATTAATATTCACATTTATTTCTCTTAAATCGGTACAAAACTTAAAAAAACAATTTTTCAATCATTATCATCTTCTTCCTTTTCTTCAAAATCTTTAGTTCTAATATCCTGATCTTCTCCATATTGAATTACATTATCAATGGTCAACAAAACATCATTAATGCTTTCTAAATTTTTTAAATTTAAAGGAATAAATTTAACCAAAGAATAATCTTCAATAAGTTTGGCAATAGCTTCTGTTAACTTCCTATACTTTGTGTTAAAAGCAGAATTCCCACAAGTTTCAATATCACCTAATATAAAATGAGAATCAGGCTCTAGAAAACTATCAAGTCTTTTTTTGGCTGATTTACTTAAAAGGTCCATTTTGGATAAAATGTTAACATGAGGAACTTCTAAATTCACCATAACACTTAGCGCTGCCATTGTACCAGAAATAAACTTAGCACCATCAGTAATGAACTGAACATCAACAAGGAAAACAGCACACACATTAAAACGCCATATCTGTAACTTTTTCACTAAGTTTTTTATTGCTGTTAAGTGGGTGTATAGCTCAATTTGTCCAGGGCAATCAAATAGTATGTAATCATCTTCTTGATCTCCTAAAACAGAAATAGATTGTTAATGGTTATTAAGTTATGTAACTTAAAAAAACTAGGAACATAGAAATTTAAGCTGGATTCATAGATTGACTGACTGTAGATGTAGACGCACTAGAGACATAAGAAACAGACTGTAAATGTTATTTCAATTTATAAATCAACGGAATGGAATTTTTGCGCATGAGTAGAAACAGTGGCTAGAGTTGGTGACCATGATACTATAATATCATTTTATTATTTATTATTATTGTTTTATAAATTCTTAATGTCCATTGTAACAAATAATCAACAAAATCAAAATTCAAATATGTTAATAAGCAACTTTACAAAATGGTGGGCGGGCCACAGTTTACTTTGGTTGACAGCACAAAATTCTTCCTCTTTATTGGCCAGTTCATTTATAAATAAGAGTACACAAAATTCTATGTTGATCTTTTTAAAGTGCATCTACGTTTACAGTATGTCAAACTATAAACCCAGCTTTACTGTGTTTATTTCTGGGCAATCAATTAAAGCCTACATCACTAATTTCACAAAGTATCACTAGTTATAGTCACACAACAGGTGCTGTATTTTGATTTTGATCATGAGAAAACAAAAACAAAACAACTTAGTATCTAATGTAATTTCTTTGCTCCTGCATATTATTTGTCTCCAATTCAAATGGTTTGACTTTAAAAAGTGGTCACAAGATTTTAATATACTATGTTCACTGAACCCAGTCCCAACTGTCCAGTAATTAAATCTTTGTTCAAATTTTGACTTTAACTGGAAGTGGCTGGAGATTACTATACAACCTAGCTAATGTGCTCATAGCAGACATTAATTCATTCACAATATAAATCTCATATTGTTCTGAAGATATTTTCTTGTGGCATTTTATAGTAATCACTATTTAAATGGGAAATAAGCCACAATTAAAGGTTAAAATAATTTTATTCACGTTTCAATTTCCACTTTGGAAATCATTCTCAAAATACCTAGATATTTTCTCAATAGGTTCTAAAAATACCTATTTTGAGAACAATTTCCGAATCGGAAATTGAAACGTCAATAAAATTACTTTAACCTTTAATTGTGGCTTATTTCCCATTTAAATATAAATCTCATGAATAAAAAAAGTTTCAAATGGGATATCTCATAAAAAATTTTAATATTAAGAAAACCAATTACTCAAGTCAATTGCTAATATTTCAAGGTATTTGTATTACAACGGAACTACCATAACTATTGTTGCGTAAAATCATACAATTTATGTATTATACAAACCTAGTTTTTCCTCTAGCCAGTCAAGGTTTTCAGTGAGATATTCCATACAAAAAACGAGGCCTCCATTGGGGCCACACTGCAGTTCTTCATCATCCATGGCATCTTGTAAATGAATTAATTCCCTTATATCAACAATGGGTTGATAGTTGAAATATTCTGCTGCTGGGTCTAAGTTAACTACGTCTATATTTCTTCTAACATCTACACCATGTTGTGCTAAAGCACTGCAATAAGTTGATTTTCCACTTCCCGCTGGTCCTATAACTAATTGAGCATACCTCATCTTAACTTAACGAAGTTGTTCCAAATTCCTTAGAATTAGAAACAATTATACTTTCAGCTTAAAAATTGAAAACATTGTTTTGTTATTAGGTTAGGATTTTTACAGGGTTTACAGGTTAACTTTAATCGATTTTAACTCGATTAAAATAAACAAAAAAACAAAAATCGAATACCGATAATCTCGACTGCGGGACACACACCAACTACCCCTATTCAATTTTTATTCATAGATTTCAATTTTTAGTGACAATTATGTGACACATAACACACCATCTGTCAAAATTTTATTTTCCGATATTTTTTACTAATATTTGTCGTAAATAAATTATTAATTTCTGTTTAGATGCTCAAAAGCATCACATTTTCCCCATCAAAATTAGACCGACTGGTCCGTTAGTCTCCTGTCAATATAGGTACCTATAGTTTTTACAACACTTTTCAAAAATGGAACAAAACCAGCAGTGTACTCTTTATATTTGTACCTAATGCTATCAAATTAAAGGCACTGATTAAATAGCAAAACAGTGACTGATTGAATAATTTCTTTTAATTCCGAAAAGCTCTTTAGCCAAAATCGTACAAGATTGGCTTGTCATCATCATCATTTTGGCTTTACAACCCTGTGTGGGTCCTAGCCTCCCCAAGAATTCTCTTCCAGTCGTCCCTATCCATCGCCTTCCTCCGCCAAGCACGTATTTCCATATTTCTCATATCTTGGTCTATGTTATCTAGGAATCTTGTTCTGGGTCTTCCTCTTTTTCTTTGACCAATAGGTCTATCAAGGAGCGGTTTTCTAGATGGGTCGGTTTGCTCCATCCGCATTACATGGCCTACCCACCTCAGACGTCCTATCTTAATGTGTTTTACGATATCTGGTTCCTGGTATATTCTACAGAGTTCGAAGTTGTATCGTCTTCTCCAGACACCATTTTCATTTACCGCTCCATAGATTTGCCTCAGTATTTTTCTTTCGAAACATCCTAACATGTTTTCATTGCTTTTTGTTAAAGTCCAGGTTTCTGAACCATATTATGTTAGGACTGGGCGTATTATTGTTTTGTAGAGTTTTACTTTTGTATTTCTTGATATAGCTGTAGATTTAAAAAGGAGATTAAGCCCAAAATAGCATCTATTAGCCGTGCAAATTCTGCGGTTTATCTCTGCGGTAATGTCATTTTCAGTATTGGTTCCCAGGTATACAAATTCGTTAACTGCTTCGATGACGTCGGTTTCTATAACAAGTGGCCGTCGTATTTGTGGTTGCGGACCTACTTTCATGTATTTCGTTTTATTAATGTTTATTATTAAACCCATTTTTGTAGCCGCTTCCTTTAGTGCTTAATACACCTCTCGTGCTGCGTTTTCCAAGATTGGCTTGTATATAGCCAAAAAGCAAAAATATACAAATAGGACAAAATCCTCTATAATAATGTAATTATATTTATTAAAGCAATTATTACTTTTATATTTACAATGCTTCTAAATTAAATGAAATTACTAGTTTTTTTGTAATTATCATTTGATTTGTTTTTCTTGTTTCACAATTCAACTTTTTAATTCTAAGGTAGAATAAGTACGATACTTTGTATTATCAAATACATCTACAGGGTAGTGAATCGTCAAACGGGCAATAGGAAATCCAATGAGACATTCTGAATTGTTAAATTCCTGCTTCCCTAATTATTTTACATCAAAAGTCATAAGAAACTATTTATATAAATATTAAAATTGTTCTACGAATTAAATGTATTCCAAAATTTTATAAAAATATAATACATTTTTCAGGCCACCCCTTAAATTCAGTCCACACGAGATACAAGAATGTGTATGACATGTTGCGTTTGGTCATATTTATGTTTCTGCAGCCCAGACAGCACAAGTACGTCCCATGGACGTACTAAGAATGTACCTCAATGTCCGGACATCCGTTTACATAATGAGGACGTCCCAGGTATGTCCAATAAGACCTAAATGTTACCAAAAAGTACGTCCCACAAATCAGAGGTTATTAGTGGTCTGTGGTACGTCCCCTGGATGTTCATGGGGACATACATATACAGAACTTAATACGGACTTATATAGGATCTAAGAAGGATGTATTGGGGACATCCATTGTATGTCCACATGGACTAATACAGGACCTAAAGGGAACTTACAAAAAACTAATAAAATGAAAAGCAAAAATAAATGAGATTTTATTTGTCCAATAAAAAGATACTTTGTCCAAATATTCTTCTGTTCTATTTCCAATACCAAGTTTCCCTATTAATCTTTTAGATAAAATATACAGTTTTCTTATGTTTCTATAAATCTCCACTTTCCTTAATCATTTTAGAAAGGTTAAATGAATTTTGTAATGTTTAAATTGTTTGATGTTTTTTTTTGTAATGATAAAATTACATAGGAGCTACCTAGGTCATACTCAATAAGACTTTATGGAATAAAGTAATAAAACAAATAGCCAATTAGTATTTGTCGTGGATGTATTTATTTTTCTATTTAAAAAACATTATTATAGACATTTGTTGAATAATGTACAAACATTCTTAGTTGCTAATAATCACAAAAAGATGATACATTTATCGAAAAGTGATTCTAACCTATCTATGGAATATTATTAAATCACAAACTTAAAAATAAATATTTACTGCTTCTGTAAATAATCATCAAACATATACAGAGCCAATGAACTATCTGGTCCGTTAAGAAGGCCAGCCAAGTCAGTACTGTACCCTGCTAACTTTCTGATAAGATCTCTCTCCTTGTGCACAACTTCTTTCTCCAAATAATCGGAAATTTCAGGATCGTGGAATTGTTTGTTGTTTCTGGTAGCTTCACGATGGATGGAATGAGCTTCATGAACAAACTTCTTCTCTATATCCAAAGCTTTAGCAATAGCAGTAAGTTCACGCAAGTCAAAGCTACGAGATTCTGCCTCTTCACCTTTGATGTCTTTGGAAATAGCATTGAAGTTCATGTGTCCACCACGAGAGGTAAGATACTTGATAAATTCAATACCCTCATGCCATTTGTTGTCAGACAAGCCACGGAAAAGTTTTTCAAATCCTGCTCTGTTTCTTTCATATGTGGCAAAATTGGTTGCTAGAAGTAAATACTCAAAGGATCTGATAAAATGATGGTTTATGAATTTCTGTAGGTCAGATTCAACTGCATCAATAGCTCCAAATTTGGCTGTACAGTTCAACTTGTCAACATCTGTAAATAATATTTTTTTATTATTACAAATATAAAAATTTTATTTAGTTGTTAAATTTACATCTATGAATAAACATCTGGTTGAAATTAACGGTAATCTGTCTGCTTAATGCTACAACATTTTTGACTGTAAATGTTTTCCACTTATTTCCATCCAATCAGATTAAAAATATAGTTATACTTTTGTATTTGTTTGGAAGATAATAAGTGGAAAATGCAATGAAAATGTTGTAGAGACAAAAATTTTAGGAATTAAGCATACCAGACACCAGTAATATGTCAATATCCACTACTAATTACATGATTATTAATATATCTTATATTAAAATATGAAAAGTAAAAATACAATATCTCAATACAAATTTTTTATCTATATTTTGTAAGTGCACATTTCAAATGCTTGAGATATTATTTTTTCACTAACAATATATAAGAAATAGGGAGTTTTATGCCTTATTAATAAAGAATTAATGACATTTTGCTGTAAAACTATACTTTTATGTCCATATAAAATTTTATATGGACAAATTACTATGAGTGGTATTCCATTTTAAATTTTCCAGTTTTTGTTAAGCACAAGCAATGGAAAGCTACTTTGAAAAAAAAATGTGAAGAAACTATTTAATATAAGGTTAAAATGTAATACTATCAACAAAATAGGCTTGAAAATCTGTTGAATAATAGTTACTAAATTGCACTGAGTAACCTTGTATCCCCAAAAAAGTTAACAAAGGATTCTCAATTTGATGAGGGTTATATATAAAAAAAAATTATACACAATCAGCTAAAATTAATAAATAATAATATACTTTAAGTACAGTTAATGTCAGTAAAAAGTTAGGATTTATTATTCCTCAATGAGAATAGATAGTACTTTTATACATTCGTTTGGGCGGTGCAGTAGCCACCGCTGTTTTTGTTTTTAAAACTCTCCAAAATATTATTGTAATCTCTACAAAGGTCAAACAAAAATAGAACTAAATATGGATAAAAGATTACTTACACTTCGCAGCAGTTGGATTGCATGCGGTAACTGCGTCTTGATAGCAAAAATCTTCGGAGGCCAAAGCGGCGACGCAAAGGAAAGATAGTACAATGAAAGTCTTCATGATCCCTAATACAAACAAAATTAATGAACAATTATTACTAATGTGTTATTATCGAAAGCTTTAAGAATACTAACCTGGCATCTCGTCAGCGTAATCATGAATAACAATAAACGATTCAAGTTCTTGTTATATTTTGTTCTCTACGCATCGAATAATCGGAAACGACGTGCGCAACTGTGTCGGGCGCATGAAAATTCTCCGCAACCACAAGAAAGTGCTTTGTCAGGATTATTGACGACGACAACGTTGCCAGATACTTTACGTAAATCATGATCATGAAAATACTTATAAAAGCAACCTGAATCGTTAACACTTGACTTCACTTATTTCCATAAAAATGTTTTACTAATTTTACAAAAATATTATTCTAATAAGTGTCGTTTAGTAATATAGGTAATCACAATTTGATATATTAGACCAGGCCTATCAAAAATACTCATAAAGACAAATAAACGAGCTAAGTTCTCGTGCACTAGATTTACAGGAGACTAATAGGTCCCATAGTAAATTGTAAGGTGGTCGCTCAGACTTATATACCTGTTCACATTGCGATCTGAAAGATTTTTTCTTGTGTACACCATGCATAATATGCTAAGTCCACAATAGCCATTATAGTCCTTATTAGATACCCGATCACATTCTTAAAGACCTGTTTCAGGTATTTAAGTATGGCATCGGTTAACAATTCCACTGCAGGTTCAGGTAATAATGTTGGACCACTTTCTCTGGAAATAGACTACAACGTACATCACAACTATATAAGCACAGAATACATCCAGGTGTATTCTGTGAAATAAGTATGATTCAGAAGTAATAAGTTTGAATTTACGAATAAGTATAAAACTATGAAAAATGTGTACCAAATTAATATGTTCTAAAATGAATAGATGCGATTATATGAAAATATACGTGCCACGGCAACAGTGTAATGGACTTCGACGTGAATGTTTACAATTTAGCATCCGTCGTAGAAAACAAGTATGAGACAGAGATAATGTCATGGTAGTGCTGTGCGCAAAATATTATATTTACGTATAATCTAACTTTTTCAAGTTGTATTGTCATAGTCCACCTTCTGCACCAGTGAGTGTAAAGGCAGACTACAGTGATTACTTACGTTATTATTGAATAAACTTTCGTTATATTTCTAGTACATCTAATCATCATACATAAAACAACATGAAGTCCGTTGCGGTATTTGTATTTTTGGCCTGCTTTGCAGGTTTACATGCTGTCCAGCTAAAATGTAAGTATTGCATTTGCATCAGAATAAAAAAAATGTTTTTTCGTCGATAGTTTTCTCTTTTTTTTTTATTTTTCAAAATTCCAGTAGTGACTAACCAACCAATGGTCGTAACCATTAGAGAGTTATTGTACTGACGTCATGCTGCCATTCCATAATATTCAATGATTCTTGAAAGGTCATTTTTTACATTTACGAATCGTGAATTTGTCAAATTAACAATAAAAATTGCTGTAATTTAACTAACCTTGAAACCTTGTAGTATTTATGATTTAATTCTTTGGTACAATGACCTGTTATCTCCTCTTTTTTTAGATTACAGTACTAATAAAACGAATTTCAGCAAAGGCTTGAAAAATAACTTTTTAAATTGGAAATGTCATAGTGTTAAAAAAATCGTTTGTATTTTGAGAAGAATTTCCGAAGTGGAGATTGAAACATCAATAAACTTATTTTAACCTTTAATTGTGGCTTATTCCCATTAACATAGTAATTAATTACTTTAAAATGGCACAAGAAAATAGCTTCAGAACAATGCTGATTTTTGTTTTAATGAGTATCATCAATAATAGAATGCTTGGTTCTCTTCCAAATCTTGTTTATTAGGATGCTGATATGAATGTGTGTACTATTATCAGCAGTAAATAAAACGTAAATACATTAACCACATTTTTATTTACACATTGCCTACAACTGGAATGCAATAAAAAACTTATCTTTGTTGTTGGTGCTATTTATATTTCCAATTCTAATTAAAATAAATATGAATGATAAGTCACTTTGTAATGTCATTGACTTTGTCTCCCTACTGTAGCAGAAAAAACTGCTGTTTAATTTTGCTAAATAGTACAAGCTTGTTTGAATTACATTTTCTATTATTTATATATTTTTAGTCATTTGTTCCAAATGTACAAGAAAAATTAATGTTGGACCTACCTTGGTATATTCTTTATACCATAATCTCTCTGCATGACATGCAATTACTTATGTTAGATTCTAATATTTCTGCTCATTGGAAATTTACATTTAAATAGACCACATCATAAAGAATAACTATAAATCATCAAATAAAAAAGTCATATAATCTGTAATAAACATAAATTTTAGTAGGAATATAAAATATTTATACTTATTACAAAATTGTCTAGCTATTCTGATATTATATTAATTGGTCTACATTCTACCTAAATACAGTTACAACATTGTAGAATTTAAAAGCACCAAGGGTCACTTCTTCCCTAACCATCTTTCAGGCGTTTGGTTATATGCAAATACAATATTCTTGAAATGGTTTTAGGTGCCCACCAAGAACTGGATATCCCAAAAGATTGGATTGATATGAACAATGTTTGTGTGAAAAAGATGAGAGGCCAAGTTGAAGAAGAACTTAAAGCTTCAATGCAATACATGGCCATGGGTGCCTATTTCTCCAAAGACACAGTGAATAGACCTGGCTTTGCTGAATTATTCTTTAAATCTGCTAGCGAAGAAAGGGAACATGCCATCAAATTGATCCATTATTTGCTCATGAGAGGAGAACTTACTTCTAGCATCAGTGATCTCATCAAAAGAAATGTAAGTAAAAAAATGTACTAGTGTTTTAAAAAAATGATTTAAATATTTATAAAAACAGCTGTTCAAAAACAATTACAATTTTTTGTTTTGTCCTTCAACAAATCTAATTGCTTTTGCTTTGTTTGCTTCTTTTAATACAAAGCTCCTCAGATAATTTCAGTGTCTGTATATTTAAATTCTATAAATGATACTTTAAAATGTTGGCATAAGTATTTACCGTTCAAAAGGATTTTATACATAAAATAATTGCGGAATCTTTTATTTCTATTGTGAAAACCTGTTTATTTTTTTAACAATCCACCAACTAATACTTTATTTATTTAAATAACATAATATATGCAAAAAAATTCACAAAAATAATTTACAATGAACTATGGAAGTAACCTTGAACTTTCATTATAATCAAATCAGATTCAGCCATGCCTTATCCATATTTTTCTTAAGAAGTTTTAAGTATTATCAACCATTTTTTGTACCTGAATATGGACATTTTTTCCTTATGCTTTTATGAACTGTTTATTTTCCTAAAATAAATACATTGAATTATTTAAAGGATCTTATGACTCACAAATTTTAAGATACTCAGTTGAACTGTGAACTTTACTCATGAATTCTCAAATAGGGCATATATTGTCATTTGTGGTTTGTGTTAGAGATATCAAAAAGGTGACTAATTCTTGTATTATACCTACTTAATATGTTTAGTTGCTATGTTTGATAAACATTGATATCATTGTATCCACATGTCTATTATATTAGGAATTCCAGATAATTTTATTACTCAGAAATAACACTAGGAAATAATTTGCAACACATATGCATATTATTACATTTTTTCTTCTAAGTGTTATTTTCTTTAAAAGGTTGGAAATCTTTACAGGAATTCATAGTTTTGATGCTTTAAACAGGTCAACATAGCTGTATTTATTTAATCCAGTTTCAAAATTTTCAACAAGGTAACTCATTTCCTTCCCTGGCTCTTTCTTCTTTTTCTGTGTGGTATTGTTTTAACAAGTTATAATATTTGCTTGTCATGACATCAATATGTAATATGATATGTATTCTTCTTCTGTCATGCGATTCTCCTTCTATAATGGTATCTGTAATATTTTTTAATAAGTTGTTAATCAATTTGGTATTTATTTATAGATTGTGTTCAATAGTTCATGCCTCTATAGTTTCCATAATTGTTGTAATCACCATTTTTTAAACAATGGTATAACTTGTGACATTTGCCACATTTCACGTATTTTACATACCAAGCAGTATTGATCTATTCAAGTTGCTTTCCTATTCTTTAACATTGTAATAGCCCCTATAAATTCCTTCATTTTTAAAGGTCAATTATATATCAACTTTGTTCTAAGTCTCATTTTATATAGCTTCTAGGATTATACCACATTCTCATAGTCTAGTTATTCATTTTTATTTGACTATTCTATGGCTAAGATGACACATCTATTCCACATCCACTCCATATATTTACTGGTCAAAAAGTTCTTTGTTTTGCCATATGGATGGTTGCATTGTCTTGATCCAGAACAATTCAACATTTTTATGTATTTTAAGTATTTCTATACAGAAAAAAAAAGTATACCATTCCACATTTACAATTCTATGATCATCCTTCAATGGAGTAGTCCAGTTTTGATATAAAATAGTTCATTTTTTGGGAAACACTGAAATCTTGTGACATAAGTTGTTTTTATTTATCTTGGAAAACCCAAAGCTTTGAGTTTATTTTGTTTTTTGGTTTGTATGCACAAATACAACTTTTATCACTACTAATAATGTTGTATGTAAATTTGATGTGCTTGAATTGAACAGATTATAAGTGATGATGTAAAAAACATAATCATATTTTGTATTATCTGCATTATCATTTATAATTGATACCACTGAAAAACTTGTTCTCTGGACAGTTCCTTATCACCAAATGTGGATCATCGATGTACTTACTCCTTTTCACTTTGTTTCAATTGAAAGTAAAACAAAATTATTATTCAAAAATGTTCACAATTTAATATTTTTCAATTATATTGTACTGTAAGGCTATACTGAAACACTAATGTCAAAATTAACATATTTTTATCTCAATCAAATAATGAGACACTGAAGATTATTTACTATCTATAATGGGAATTAATCACAATTTGTATTTCTTCTTCTTCTCTCTCCACCTCCTGATATAGCTGCTCTAAAGTCATTTTTCTTTTTGCTTATTCTGTCCAGTATCTTTCCCTTTATAACGATCTGCAGCAACATATATCTCTTCTCTCATCATATGGCTCAGAAAGTGCAATTTCCTTATTTTAATTGTATTCAAAACCTTCTTTTCTGTTTTCATTTGTTTCAAAACATTGTTGTTCATAACCTTATCCCCTCAGTATATTCTTAAGATTCTTGTTTTGCCCACATCTCAAACGCTTCTATTCTGTTGGACATGTCATTTTTTAGTGTCCATGCCTCCATTTCATGATAACACTGATAATACTTGACTAAGCAACATTTATATGGCACGCTAGCGTTGAGAATCTCTATATTCAAGGCTTTGCATTCCCTACTGCATAAAATAATTAAGTGATAAATAAGTGGCAAATAAGTAAAGTGAGGTATTTATTTGTGTTAACTACAATGTCGGAGCAAATAAAACAAAGAAAGTTCGAGCAACTTTAAAATGTATTAACTCTCGCAATGACGACTGTCCTTCTCCTAATCCAGTATTCAAGGAAAGGCATGCAGCAGCTTGATGTTGTTGTAAGGTCGACATCAACTGATGTTTGATTGGTTGATTAAAAAGGGTGATCACTCCAGTTGAAAGTTTTTTCGTCCTATTCTAGTCAATGCTTGCTCAATGATAAAAAAGAGTCGCTGTTAGATGCAGCTGTTTTAGCTCAGGTATTCTACTTTATACTTATCTGTGAATTTTTGTAAGGCAAGCTCGAAACTGTCATTGATTCTACATTTAAAGGGACTTGTTTCTGAAGTGGGGTATAAAATGGAAAAATAAACTACAACAAATATTGTTATAGTGTTGAGAAAAAAGAGGATACTGGTTTTGAACATTGTTGATTTTGTGGTGTTGAAGGTAAAATAGGCCAGTAAATTCCGGAATTAAATAAGAAAAGTAATATTTAGACATGGGAACAAATGGTACTAAACGAGGTGGAAAACTGATAAGATGAATAAGAATTTAAAATGAAAATAAAAATGTTTATAATGTTTGAAACATTTGTAATTTCTTGAATATAATTGTTGTTTTAGTTATGACTTCCCAATTATGTATATTTGTCCACCTTTTGAACAAGTTCGCCCCCAATCCATATTTCCATATCCGATTTCACCTTTTTGATATTTTTTTTTGCAGAACCCACAAATCTGCAATCGGCTCTCTGATCATCCTTGTATCTGATATTATTAATAGGTTCTACATAGACTTTAATTCCAATTGATGTTTCTTTTATTGCTTCTTGAACTATCTGTTCTGAGTACAGGTTAAAGAGTAACAGAGAAAGTATGAACCAATGCCTCCTTCTTTAAGTGCTGTCACCCAATTGGAGGTTCGATATCATCATCACTATCTTTACTCTATCTACTGCTGCTCTGAGAGTTTCTATTGAACTGCATCTAAATGCTCCTTCTTCCTATATTCCTTCCTCCTCATATCTTTCCTTGTATTACCAATCTTACTGCTAATCTTATGAATAAACCCCTGCCTTACTCCTCGTTAAATCACTCTGTCAGTTTGTTAACAACTTTTACAGAAGTAACTTGATTAAAATATGTAGGCAATTTGTGCTTAATTTTCATTAAAGATAGTAAACGGCATGAAAATGCCACAAGAAAATAACTTCATACTCAAGTACTGTGGAAATGTGATTTAATATAATTCAACCAGGATAAAACTACATTAATTTTCTGTCACAGCTTATTTAAAAGGAAACATGCCTATCAAAAAGAAGAAAACTAAGAAAGCCTATAATATATATGTTTAAAATAAATATGAATTTCCGAATATTCAAGCTCATTTTAGATAATTTTTTTGTAAACAACAGTATATTTTAAAATTTGGCGACACGATATTAAAGCATTTTTTTCACGCGTGTTTAGCAGCGATAAGTCGTATAATATGCAGATAAGGAGTCCCATACGGAAAGTGGATTTTTTAAATTGTATGGGATTTATCTATACAGACAAGTATGTCACACTTCCCAGAATTGCTTAGTAACAATAAAAATTAAAAAGGTACTTCATATTTTTTCATATAAAGTTCTCATTTTTATAATTACAACATTGATTCGTTTTTCAGATCATTTTTTAAATTACAACATTGATTACCTTGCTCAGATAATATTGTAACATAAATATAATGCTATCTGAAGTGTTGACTACAATGTCAAGATTGTGTAAACTGTTTCAATTTATAGATTGGAATAAAGATTTTAAATTTATCAAAATTAATGATAAATATTTATTATTTAATTTAATTGAAGACTTTCTTGGCAAGTTATATTAATGTTTATATAATTGTTTTTCTTAGAAAGCAACTGTAAATATGTTTATTATTTACTAGCAGTAAACAATGTTCCATTGTTTATGTCTGTACAAAGGAATTATTAGGAAATGAGGCAGCAATATAAAGAGTTTGCTTGATAAGTAAATGACTTACAAATTTGTTTTTGTATTTATTTTAAAAGTTAATAAATGCCCTCTTTACATATTGTCATAGAAATTATGGACTAAAATAAAAATTACAAAATATAAAGTTAGTATAAAGGCACAACTGAAGTGATCATATTTACTCTGCAATTCTTCATTCTGGTTTCTTTAGTTACTCTACATTTTCTTTAGATGTCTCTTGTAATAAATTGATATAATTGTTAATCTGTAAGTTTTTTTCTTCACCTTCTGTTCATCATGTCCAAGATTTCATCAGTTATTCCATTTGTTCTTTTTTTATGTTTCTCTGGTTTCTCTAACATGTTATCGCAAATTTAGATAGTTGCCACGTAGGCGTGGCCACAGTGGGTGCCGTGGAACCAACACTAACTTTCGAGGGGCGCAAAAATTGAGAAACAACAACTAGACAAAGTATTATAGATTTTATACCTCTAAAAGAACATATAATCCACATCAACCACGCAGGGTTATTAGTGGAGTAATGTACAAAAGAATTTATTTAATTTACATTAAATAGATGTCTTCTTCTTCTTTTAGTGCCTCTCCTATTGGAGATTGGATATCATTATGGCGAATCTAATTTTATTTACCGCTCTTTTGAATAATTCGTTAGTGGTACAGCCAAACTACTCTTAAATTTCTCATCCAGGACATTCTTCTACGGCCTGGATTTCTGCGTCCTTGGATTTTCCCTTGCATTATATTTTGTAGGAATGTGTACTTTTGTCCTCTCATCAGGTGGTCTAAGTATTCAAGTTTTGTCTTTTTTATATTCATGATAACTTCTCAATCGTTATTTATTCTGCGTATTACCTCTTCATTTTTAATTTTATCCACCCAACTTATTTTTAGTATACGGCGGTAGCACCACATCTCAAAGCTTTCAAGATTTTTAATATTCCTCTGTTTAAGAGTCCACGCCTCAACACCGTAAAGCAAAGTACTGAATACATAGCATTTTAACATTCTAGTTCGTAGATGAATACTAATATCACGATTACAAAATAATTTGTTCATTTTTATAAAGGTATACCTGGCAATTTCAATACATCTTTTTATTTCGTGATTTTGATCACCTGTTTCATTGATGAGGGTTCCCAAGTATTTGTATTCGCTTACTTTTTCAAGTTGGGTACCGTTGGGTATATAAATAGATGTATATAAACGTAAATCTTTTAAATAATTTATTATGTGGTCAGTGTTTATGGTTATAGTGGTTTTGATGTCATCTGAGATTCCATATTTTCTTCTTGTTTCTTCGTGGTACTGGCAGTTAATCAGAATATGCTTCACCGTCAATGGGAGAGAACAGTTTCTGCAGGTTGGAGAAGATTATTTGTTGATTAAGATTTTACGGGTCAGTGCAGTGTGTCCAATTCTTAGTCAGTTAATTATTACTTTGGTCCCTTCTATTGGATGGATTATTCAAGGTGGTCTTCACAAGGGGATAAATCTCTTATAGTTTGGTTCCTGAATATTTCCAGTAATCTTGCCATATATTCATACAGTGGTTTTTAATTAGGTTTTTGAGATCGGAGTATGGCTGATTTCTTGATTTGGTTGTGTATTGTGAGTTTATTCGACTTGTGTTTGCTAGGCTGCCCATTTTCTCATTTCCGAAATATTGGATTTGTAGGGTAAGAAAGGATTTGATGATAAAAAATTGTTAACTGTTTTTCATATATGAAAATATCATTGTTCGAAATAAAAAAAAGTACAAAAAGTATATGAGTGTCAGGGAAGGGCGTGATTTTCAGCATTAGAACTCAGACTAAACAAAACTAGCCAAACCTTTACTGGATGGAAGTAACTTAATGTTTTTAGTCTATCTCAATGATAATTTTAAGAAACTAGTTTTGAGTTTTAACAATACAAAAAAAATTAAAGTAGTAGGGTCACATTCAGAAAATGAGAGAAGTTTTACCAAAGCAGATACTAGACTGGATGGTTAATCGTCAAACGGACGGTAGGAAACAATGGGAGATTCTTAACTGTTGAATTCCTGCTTCTCTAATTATTTTACATCAACAGTTTAAGAAATTATTTGTAGAGGACGGAAATCTGTATTAAAAACAAATGTTAAAATTGATCTATGAATTAAACACAGTCCAAAATTTTGCAAAAATATAATCAAAGAGTGGAAAAAAAGTATTTTCGAAGTGAGGAAACATTTATTTCCTAGCTGAGCGCTTTCGGCTCATAAAGTCATCTTCAGAGATATGGTCAAGTTTTTAAAAATACTTAGAGAGATCTTATATGGTGAAAAAATCCACAATTTTCCTTTAAGCTCTTTCTTTGAAAAAACACATAAAAATTTGCTTATGATGAGGGTGTCAGAACCCGATCATTTTGTTCTGAGTTGAAGCAACAGATTCAATTGATTCTAGTTCTCGAAAACGAAAATAAAGTAAATTAAAAATAAAATATTTGCTTATGATGAGGGTGTCAGAACCCGACCATTTTGTTCCGAGTTGAAGCAACAGATTCAATTGATTCTAGTTCTCGAAAACGAAAATAAAGTAAATTAAAAATAAAATTAAAATAAAAAAAAATCAAGATAAAATAAAAATCAAAATAAAATGAAAATAAAATCGAAATAAAGTAAAAACAAACTACGATAAAATAAAATTAAATTAAGGTAAATGAAATTTTTAAAGAAAAAAATTAAGATTTTGTTAATTTTCAATATCTTAAATGTGTGGTATTATTATAAAAAAATATTAAAAATTCAGTAGGAAGCAGACATAAAATCAATTAACTTACATATTAATAACGATCTCTAAGAAGTATTCACTTCTATTGCCATTCCCTGATATTGTTATGCTTCGTTTTTTGGCTAAATAATATAAAATAAATATGCAACAAAACTTTTATTTATATTAGTTTATTTATTTTTTTAACATACCCATTTTTATAGCTTGCACCTGCTGTCACCACATGGGAAAACGGTGTAAGTGCCCTCAAACATGCTCTTAAACTGGAAGCTTCAGTTACAAGAAAGATCAGAGATGTCATCCAAGTTTGCGAAGACGGCTCAAGCTTCAACGATTATCATGTAAGTTACTTTCCTTTTTAATAGATAGTAAAATTTTGTTTCAGCCAAAGCAATCGAATCTGTTATCATCGATTTTAAATTTTTATGATCATTTTAATATACACACATCAAAAATGTCCCAGAAACACCATTATTATTTCACTTTTTTCAATAAAAACTTAAAAACCTTTTTTCTTATTACATACTATTCTATTTGAAAACTTATTCTCTACAAATCAAGGTATGCCATGTCAATTAATCTGTCAATTGTACTGTTTTATTAAGGCAAAAGTACAGTGCCTTAAACTCATACAATTAATTGCTTCAAATTGTAAATAAATAGTGCTTCAAATTTCATAGATAGTTTGTATTTACTTTAAAATTTTACTAAAACAAGATTATTAAACGCAAAGATAGTCATGGAGCATCTGCATTTAACACATATGTTAAATGATGTGAATATGAAGCAGCCTGGTCTTTCACAAGCTGATGTTGCACGTGATTTTGACGTGTCTTGAATCGTAAAAGATCGGTATGTGGATTAGCTTGTCAAAATGTGCGCGAACTCTATTGGACCTTAGAAAATACCCACAACATTACTATATATGACCCAACTTTGAAGAATAGATTACATGAAACTGACCTTCACGCCTCGTCCATCGAGGATTTCCATGTTCCGTGGACTCAGATTAAGGTGGCCACAAGAACATGTGCAGTGGGACTTATAAGAATGGAGTTCTGTGTTCACAGATGCAGCTAGGTATTGTCTCTACCCTGATTAAAAAAGAATGAGAGTTTGGAGAGGACCTGGTCGACAAGAAAGACTCAGGCATGTACAGGGGGTTCGTCCATATAGTGATCTACAATCGCCAGGTCATAATCCCATCGATATATGAGATATGCTTCAGAAACTGATTGCTCCTCATCTGTACAATGTTAATTAGACAAGGTCTTTAAGATCTTAAACAGGAATGGATTACATTGCCTTAAAACGAAATTTACAATTTAATTTTAAGCATGCCAAAGCGGTGTCAAGCTGTAATGAATGCTGCTGAAGGAAACACAGCTTATTATACACTTTTTTGTTAGATTTTAGATCACAGTACACTAAAATTAAGCTGAATTTATTGTTGACTAATCAGGTATTAAACGGAATGTCACTTTTTAAAATACAATCAAAGTTAATGTATATACATATGTGAAAAAAAACTTTGTGTTCCTTAGACATTTTTGATGTGTTTAGTTTAGATATATCACCAAAGGTTTAAAATCCAAAATGGATCTAACCAGGTCGGCCAATGTATGGGCAGTACGGTAAGAGATGAGAACTTAGGGCTCAGTAATACTCATCCCATTGGCCCCCACTGGAAGACGTTGAGACGTTAGAAAATCTGAAAGCAACATCGGTTGAGTTTACCGAACGTACAAGCTGAATATAGTTGCAAATATCAACCATGAAGTAAAATATTTGGGTTTGACAGTATTGGGATGTTATTGTAATGGATATGTTGTATTTTTTTAATGGCATAGACATTAGTACTTTAGCCAGTGGTAATAGATTCTCCAATCAGGCAATGCATTGTTGTATGCTTCAAATATAAAGTGATAAAGCTTTTAAAAAGTACATTTTGATTATACTATTTTATGAATTCTGCAATTTTTATTTTATATGAACCAATAACGAGTAGATATTTGTCTTTTTCGAGATTAATTGCAAGCATCTGTTGCAGTTTAGCAACTGCTGATTTGACGATTGCCAAATCTATCCCCTAATCTATCAAAGGGCAATTGCCAAAAAAATTTTCTAATAATTAACTGCAGTTAATCTCTAAAGAAACAAATATTTACTCATTCTTGTTTTATATAATTAAAAAATTGCAGAATTCATACCATAATATAATCAAAATATACTTTGCTAAAACTTTATCTCTTTATGTTTAAAGCATACAGCATATATATTATAAAAACATTCCAACACTGCTAAACCGAAATTTTTTGTTCCATGTTTGACATTTGCGTCTACAAACAGCTTGTACTTTCGGTAAACTCAACCGCAACATCCATAAAAAACCGTTTATATGCTAATAGTAGCTTTAATAAGAAGTCTATTCCTACTGCCCTCCAAAAGAGGAGTTAAAAACTGTTAAAATAAATTATCTTGGGGTCATTATAAAGTCATTTATACTGATTTATTTATTATTGCAAGTAAGTCAGTATTGCTGAAGTAATATTTTGCGTTTATGCTAGACTGAAACTTCTGGAGAAATGTTACCAACTATAGGAATTCTTCTAACGCACATTCTAAGACTACAGAACACGTTTCTAGTTTATATAGGAACTAAAGTTATTTTTTGTAAATAAATAGTAAAATGTGTACTAAAGTATATAAGATATAGATAGAAATGTAGTATTAGTCTGGAAAATTAATATCAGTTGTTTAAACATTTTTTTTGTCCTCAGCTTGTTGATTACCTGACTGGCGACTTCTTGGAGGAACAATACCATGGACAACGAGACTTAGCTGGAAAAGTCTCCAATTTACAAAAGATGATGGGAGAACACGGAGCCCTTGGTGAATGGCTCTATGACAAGAAGCTTCAAGAAGCTTCTGCGTAATTTCATTACAATTGTAAATATTTTTAGAGCAGTTTTCGATTTGACGTCCTGAAACTGTGTTACGTGATATAGTTATAGTTCTTTTCATTTTTCTTTTTTGTAAATTGTAAGACGATTATTCCATTTATGTATTCGTTATGTTCATTTTGGAAATTATAACAGAAATAAAAACAACTTTTCATTAAAAAAGTTTAAAAGTTTAAATCGAGTTTTATTTTCTACATTTATACCATAATCAACTTCACATTTTAAAATTGCTTGCAAATATACAGGGTCTTCCATAACACTGTACCGCATCAAAGATATTTGTTTTAATGAAACACCCTGTAGTTTATTTTAAATTTAAAATCTGCTTCCTTTTTTATTTACAAGAGTATAAAGTTATTTTGTGTTATACAGGGTATTTACAAGTTATAACCAAATTATATAGCGGAATAAGATGGTAAAGTCGTGACTGGATTGGATTTTTATTTTGGGTTGGGCACTTGAAAGCACATATCTAGAAACCCCTTTAACCAAATTCGTACCTCCCTAGGTGGCCCCTGGGGTCCATATCGCAAAAAAGTGTTAAAAAAAAATTCCTGAGCGATCCTTTGCTTAAAAAAACCTGAAAAAATTCAGAAATATAAATTTTAATCCCCAAAATCCCTCTGATTTTTTTCAGATTTTTGAATTAAAATTGAGCGCTCAGCAAAAATATTTGAATTTTTCAAAAAAATTTTAGGTTTGTATTACACGAAAATACACAAAGAATAATTTAGAAGTTTGCCAAAAATGACCTAAATAACCTAAAAATTCTTTGAAAACTTCAAATATTTTTCCTGCGCTCAATTTGGATCCAACAAATCTAAAAAATAGAGTGTTTTTGGCATGGACGTACGTCCATGGTTTTTGGGCATGAAAATATTTTTAAATGATAATCGCAACTCCCAAAAAGGGGGGAATGAAACAAAAATCGTTATTTGTCACATTTAAATGAGGTTACATCAAAGAATATACACGCATGCAAACTATATTCTTTGGTTATATGCTTTAAAACATGGAAAAAAAATATCAAAAAAAAAGAAGGTTTGTCGTGTTTTGGGCATGTTCTGTTCTGAAAATGACTAACCTAAGTCCACTATTAAAAATAACAAAAATCGATATTTATTGACACGCAGTGGAGTTTATGTGGTAAAACAATGGGGGGAACACCAAAAAATGGGTTTTTTCGAATTTTATGGATGTTACGAAGTGTAAATGACAAATATAACCACGTTATCTAAAAGAACGGAAAAAATACACAAAAAATAATTATTTAGAAGTTTGTCAAAAATTATCTACATAACCTAAAAATTCTTTGAAAATTCGACCTCAGCTCAATTTTTATTCAAAAAATCGGAGTGTTTTTGGGCATGAAAACATTTAAATGATCACTTGAATAAAGATGGAAGAGAAACAAATCGTTATTTGTCACATTTAAATGAGGCGATGTTTAAAACATGGGAAAAATATCAAAAAATGGGTTTTCTCAAATTTTGACGATTTTCCAGAGCGAATATATTGGAGGGTTTTTGGGCATTAAAATGAATATTTGTACCTGGTACGTTGCTCTTCCATAATCCGGCTCGCACAAGAAAACATCTCTGAAGTAGCAGATGTAGCGTTATAACTGCTACATTGCCTGCTTTCTTTCTTATGTTAATATATTTCGTTAATTATATTCTCCAATTTCCATATCTTCTGTCATAATTCATATTCTTCTATATCCTCCATTGTATCTCTTATTTTTCTATATATTTTCTCGGATATAGATTGTATCAGAATTATGTCGTTACTTGATTCATTATTCTCTTTTCATTTTTACTGGTATTTGGTATAAAAACCAGTTGGCGTCCAAATCTATCTTCTTTATATATATTTCAGTATCTACCTTTCCTATTTTCTTAATAATCATCATTTTTATCTTTTACTCAAGTTTCTAAAGAGTGAATTTTATTTTCATCTCTATTTCTGTTACTTTGGAACGAGAGGTCCCATCTTTATTCTCTGTCGACATTTCCCCCTTCCCGTTCGATACAAAAGTCCATATAATGGCTTTTATTTCTGAAAAGGTGGATTTTCTTCATGACTTCTCTAAGAGTAGAATAACCAATTGTTGTGTCGTCTCCAGATTTGGAGTCAACCTCCGGGATACATTTCTCAGGTGCGGGTCAAATTCTATTAACATCCGGAAGACCAACCGGCCTGAGAATGGAACCATCATTCCAATAGGAGAGTTGACTCCGGGACAAGAAAATCCAAAACTAACAACATGGCTTGCTAACAACCAGAGCAGAAAAGACCAGGATAAAACTTAGGATTTGGTGACAAACATTGTTCTTTCATATACCTAATGTAACACTGTAGCAAGAAGTCGAATAATTTTTATTTAAATTCAATACGATACTTAACATTTATTTTTCTATTTTTTTTTATATTCTAATAAACATGTGTTAATTTAACTGTGTATTGTTTCTCCTTTTTACTTGTTTGTGTGTGTTGCTCCAGAGTAGGCCATATTCACGTCCTGAGTGAGCTAGCCAGGGAGTGTTTCGTATAACGTCTAATGTAGCAATTTTGTAATTAATACATTAGGGGTTATGACGTTAAAAATTGGTCCCAACGGGAAACGATTTGTCACTCCAACGTTGTTAGTGATGTTAGTCAGGTTGTAGCAGCAAACTAAGGTTTGCGGTTACAGGTTGACAACAGCAGCTCAACGTTGGGATGTTACAAATTGAACCTCGAAGGGTTACAAATTGGCACCCAATGAATATTTGTTGGCACGTCATAGATTGACGTCCAATGAATGTTCGTTGGAACGTTACAAATTATATAATTTATATCATTATATAATTATACGTTATATTTAAAAATTCGTATAGCTAATTTGTTTGCTAGAGGTATATTACTGCAATTTTTCCCAAAGTCTAAAATACCCTCATTTGGTCGAATCTTGCGCCTTAAGTGTAATTTTATTTCAATATCATCCTCTTCGCTTGATAAATCTGTAAAGTTGTCAAAGTTCATTGTTGAAGATGACATATGAATGTGGAGAGTTTGTGAAGGCAAATGGTTCGTCAGTTAGTTGACTTTTTTTTACTGTTTTGGTCTTCACAATCTTTGTTCATAGATTAGGATTCTAAAATAGTTTCTCAAAGTTCATCTAGCTTACCTCAGTGAGAAATTTCATTATCTTAAATTTTGGGTCCAAGAATAAAGTCATATAATGTAAGTCGTGCAGTTGAAATTTTTTGTTTGTATTTTTAATTCCTTAACCAAATCCGAAAAAGTAGTTAAAACAGGAGAACAACTATATAAATAAGAACACAAAGTGGGACATCATGGATACGGCAAAAGAATTGATAGAGGACACAGATTGATGAATTACTTGGAGGAGAAGCAACTATATGCAATGAATACTTTCTTTAAGAAAAAACCCCAAAGAAAATGGACATGGATTAGCCCCAATGGTGAAACTAAAAACGAAACTGATTACATTCTTTCAACGCAAAAATCCATCGTGAAAGACATAACAGCCCTAAATCGCTTCTTAACTGGTAGCGACCATAGACTAGTCCGAGACAAGCTGAGCATTGAGTGGATTTGAAACAAGTAAGAAAATATTGTTCTGAAGCTATTTTCTTGTGGCATTGTAAATTAATTACTATTAAACTGGGAATAAGCCACAATTAAAGATAAAAATAAGTTTATTGACGTTTCAATTTCCACTTCGGAAATCGTTCTCAAAATACTTGGACCAATTGGACCATCAATTTTTGACAATGAGTGTTTCGTCTATTTTGCGAACGTAGCTTGTTAAAAAACATTATTTGTTGTTTGTTTTTTTATACATAAAGTATACTTCTATTAGATATACATTCGAGATATCCTTAGAGATTATGCAAAATATTTCATTCAACGGCCCCACGATAATTTATAACACAACTGTGATTTGCAACAAAAATATTCGTTGTAATAAGTACATCAATACAAGAAATTCATTAGAAACACATATGCCATAAAATGATGCAACGTTTTTTCTAATGGTTTTTGCAGAGTTAACTCAGTGCGTAATTTTACTAGGTCAAAGACTTAAAAGCATCTGTGACTGTGACGGAGGAAGACCTGTTTTTTCCGCGATTGTATAAACACTAACAAGGCTCATTAAGAACCCTGCACAACAATTGGAATGTTTGACACCACAACCAAAGTAAACAATTAGTAAAACATATGAAATTAATGTAATTAAAAATAAGTGAGGAATATAAATATATTAAACAGGATAATTATAAATAATAAAAAAAATAATAACATATTTGAAATCGAATAAAACGTTAGGCGAATTAAAATGAATAATGATTTCAAATAAGGTAATTATTTTTTTAAATTTTCTATAAAACGTTTCTTATACATTTTAAAAAAAAATGGTTAAAGTAAAAGATCTTAAAAAACTCTTTAATTTGCTAGTTTCTAAATTAAAATACATAAACAATTACCAGGATAATTGCAAAAAACCCTTATTTTTTAAGTAATTTACAAATGCTAATAAGTTTAAATAAAAATAAATAAAAATACGGGAAGAAATACATAGACACTTGAGTAACAGAACAGTACAATCGACACAAACTACCGAGGAAGAATGGCACTATATTGAGAAAACACTTACAAGAGTAACAGAAGACTACCTCAAACAAGATACACGAAAAAAGAACAAACCATGGATGACAGAAGAAATTCTAAACATGATGGACGAAAGAAGAAAATACAGAGGTAAAAATGAAACAACATACAAGCAAATACACAAGAATATCAGAATAAAGATCCAACAAGCCAAAGAAACCTGGCTAAGTGAAAGATGCCAAGAAATTGAAGAGTTGGAACAAAGACATGATACTTTCAATCTACATAAAAAAGTAAAAGAAGCCGCTGGAATATTTAAACAAACTCCTACGTCTTTCATCGAAGATAAACATGGG